TACAATGACAGAATAACCTTATACATTTTCAGCCTATGATTTGATCCTACATGCTAGCTTTTAGATACATTCCTTTTAGGACAAGTTTCTCATTCCTAACTATGAGAAACACCTTCCTTATTTAGACAATAATCTTTGGAATCTTCCTCTTCTACTTTTATGCTTGTTTATGGAACCTGACACCTCAGCCTTTTACTATCAGACTGAGTCATTATTTTCATAGGAAAATACAAAGTTAATACCTTGCACAAGTGGCTGAAGAGGTTTGCAAAATTGGTAGGGCCATAGAGCTCTACACTATGCAATTTGGTGGTGGGTCCACCATCAAAAACAACTTTTCCCAGAGGTGCCCTGGGTCATCAAACCAAAACCATAACCACTCTCACGGGTTCAAGCTGTTTGGGCTGCAACCAGGGCAGGGAGCCCCCATGGATATCAGCACAGTCCAAGACAGACAGATGTGCAGATTAAAGGGGAACTGCTACAACTGCAGCCAGGAGGGACACATGTCCCAAGACTGTAGAAAGGGGGTGCAGGCCACCCAACACAAAAATAATAATAACCAAGGGTGCCAGGTGTGCCAACTAGAAACAGAAAAGCTGGACAATTGACTCAATACTCTGGCTGGCCATTCGACTACAAGATCTGGGCCTTCTTCTATGATCAGCAAGTTGCTGAAATAAAGGCTCAGGGAAAAGAAATTGGAGCTTAGGTCACTTGGGTGCCTTCACTCCTCTTAACATTGAAGTAAACCACAACAATGTGGCCGTAGCCCCGGTGAGACAAATACTAGGGTGCTTGACTCTGGTAAAAATAAAAATAAACATATAGAAAAACCTACAGTAGAAAAACATGTTTCTTTTGACATTTCTTCTTCTTCTTTGGAGCCACTTTCCACAAAAATCCCAAGGTGTGTGTTGATGTGCACATGTTTATTCTAAAAAGAGATCCATTTAGATGTTTGTGTAGAAGACCTTCAACGCGATGTCAATGATGAGAACTGTTGTTAGAAAACCACACACAAAAACAAACTAATACACAATCCTACCAGATTCCACGGAACTTGTTTATGGGCTTTGCCTCCTAGAACAGTGGGTGCTCTGGTTGTTCGTGGGGTGGTATGTATGACGATCCTTCAAAGTAAAACCCAGAGATGTATGGGTGTGGGTTTTGAGGAGGAGGGATAGTTGAACCATAGAAGATAGGGGCTTTATGATGAGTATAGACGAGCACTACCTTGCTAATTGTAGCACAAGGTAGGTTTGAGAACAATGAGATGACAAGGTGATGAGGTTCCCAGTGATAGCAGGCTCCTGATGCACAAACTGTAGTGCTCAGAAGGACTCTAATCGGAAGGGATGATAATGATTTTCAAAAGTGACGAGTGATGATGACAGCAGTTAACAGTGGTAGCAGTGGGAAGTGTTGTGACCACACTGGATCACAAGTAGCAGAGTAGTGAACTTGAGATTTAGAGAAGAAGTCTGGATTTGAGTTCTTGTTTTTTTTTATACTTTTTTTACAAGGTAGAATACAGGGGTTTATATAGTAAAAGAAAAGTAGGCAATGCACAGTATAGCTGTGCAAAAAGAATGAGAAAGAACATGAAGGAAGGAATATATGCTGACGAATCCTGCATAGATAGTACAGGATAAGATTGTCAAAAAAAGGAAAAGAAAGGGATAGAACAATGAATGCTGCGAGTAATGTCACAGGTTTGTACAGCCATAAAGTAAAGTCCAATAGCAAAAAGAGAGTAGGAAAATCATGATGTCATGGGAAGTTACAGTAAAAAAAGGGCAAGGCAAAACACTATCAGTATCAACACAGTTCCTTTATTGTCAGTCAGGCATTCTAAAAAATATGTGTCCATAAAAATGATTCAAAAATCAAAAATAATCGCACTGTAAATGAATGTTCTGCTGAAAAAAAAGAAACTAGAGCCACCGGTCCACCACCTAGTCCAAATCCGACAGTTCCATGGCCTTACCAATGGACTGGTTGTGTTGGACCACCTGGTCAAACGAGGGAGGGAGAGGAGTAGTCCCAATTTGGAACAAGTGAGTCCCAGGCAGCTGTGAGGCAACAATAAACTATAACAAAAACAAAACCTGCCTTCTACTGCACTTGCAGGGAGTAAGAGGTTTGATGAGTTTGAGGTCCACAGATGCTAGTAGATATAGCAAGTAGAGGACTGGGGAGTAAACTCAAGGGTTTTAGTTGAGGAGTAAAGCGGGTAAATTCAGTAATAGAAAACTAAGGAGCCACACATGAATAGGTAAGGCTTTATATAGTGAACGGTTCGTTCCTCAGATCGAAAGGAGAATATACAAAAAGTGGTCTGAGGAATCAATCGACCAATAAGAAAAAGGGAGAGTAACTATTGTACGACTTTTAACTTGATTAATCAGCAGGTGAGAGACTTGTACTAATAATAGAGGATTGTCACGCGTGTTCAGGAACCGTATCCTCATAGTGAGGTACGATCCTGAATAAGGTGTTTATTAGTATCACCAGGCTTTACTGAGGCTTGGAGCTGGTTGGCGAGATGCTTACTACCAGTCCTTACTCCGTGTGCTGGCTGGCTGGGAGCGATACCCAGTCTCTGATCTGTGATATAAAATGGTAGCGATGGTTAAGAAAGCCTGTGAGGGCTATGAGAAGTAAAACGGCAAAGGATACCTCTAGCCCTAGAGCCAGAGGTGTAACGGGAAAAGTGTTCGAGAACCAAGACATGGTGAAGATAGGAAAATAATAAAACGGTCCTTACATGTACCCAAGTGAATGGGACAGCAATGAACATGGGCAACGCAAGGGGATGAACCTTCTCCAGCTCAAAAACTACCCACCCGCGCTCCAACCAGGCAAGACGAGCGACCGATGTTTTGATAGTATATGATGGTAGATCAACATCATAAAGATGAACCTGTTGCCCTATTTAAACTGGCCGCTGGGGCTTTGCTAATATCAGCAGTGGCACGTGGTAGTCGACGGATCGGCAACGGAAGCGGATAGGAAGTGGTGACATCAGAAATGGTGGGGGAGCAAAGAAGATGAGGAGGAGGAGGCTGGAGGTGACGAGGAGGTGAACTAAAATGGGGATCCAGAAATGACCGTCGGGTGAGAATAAAAACGAGAGTAAGGGACCCATGGTGGGGCTAGGCAAAGGAAGGGAAGTGAAGGAAACGACAAAAGCGAGGGCGCAATGCAATGTGTAGCCAGTGGTGACGGCAAAATTTGCCGAAATGCCGAAACGCGGAAAGTACCAAATGGAAAAGCAAAGGTGAGCGTGACTGGATTGCCTAATAGAGGTGGTGCTGATCAGCCACAAGTTTGAAAAAGGCAATACTAATTACTATTCCACGTGGCACTGTGCCTGTGTATAGAGGTGGTGCTGATCAGCCACAAGTTTGAAAAAGGCAATACTAATTACTATTCCATGTGGCACTGTGCCTGTGTGGCGCAAAGGCGAGTCTTTTTGAATATTCGCTTCGTTATTGACACCTGTCCATGCTACCAATCAACTTTGGTGCATGACAGCGCTTTTCACTGGCACGAGAAGTTTTGCAAATCCGAGGGAACTGCCATCCCACCTTTACTGTGAGAGCTACAAGAAGAGACTGGCATCGCACCGAAAGCTCGTGCTCCACCTTGTAAATGTCGCAAGGTTCACACAGCTGGCACTCGGTCCTGAAGGACCACCCCTTTCTCCCCAGATACACCAGACGGCCAACAGCATGAGCAGCTTCAGCCAGAAAAGGATTCTCTAGCTTCAGGTGGTCTCTTCCAGACTGCTCCGGACGAGATCAACGATGATTTTGGCTACTTTTCGGTGCATAAAGTCATATATACACCTTGTTAACTATCCCTAATCTTCACAGCAGCTGAGCAAGCGCACCACACCCACCCCCGAACCAGCCACGCCCGGCACTGTGCCATCTGCAACAACAGGTTCCGGGCACTATCGTACAACCATAGACGAGGAAGATGATGAAACCGATGAAGAAACAGGTCGCCACCCCCGTCTGTACCGGAAGGCAAGACCGGCAAAGACTAGAGTACAAATGCAACATGGCTTTTGTAACAACCAAGAGTTTGTTACTCTGGCGCACAACTCAGACAAGCTATAGAGAGGATGATGAGGGAGTGGTTACCCGTTAGGCTTCAACAAGTTAGTTGTGAGGATACAACAGGAGGACTCGCTGAGGAGTCTCCTGGATCTTATTGAGGTATATATACTACTACAGGTTGTTTGTACATGTTGTACTATACAGTTGATAAAGCAGTGGCTGATGATGTCAGAGGGTGCAGCCCGTGTGACCAGCCCCACTGCGTGAGAGACTTGTAGCTAAAATAAGAATAAAGGTAGTGTAGCGCGAGACAGTGGGGTTTGAGCAAAAATGGAAAGTGCCGCATGGCACAATGTGTGAAAACTACAGTATAAAGTTAAAGAGGAGAATGAAAATTAAAGGTCCGAAAATTGTGTACTGTAACAGCTTTTTCCACCACACAGTGCAATACTGTGTCTCTCCCTCCTTCCTCTTTACACTACCAATATCCTGCAAGACCTATCAACTAGTTCATTAATCCACCATGTTATCTCCTCCCTGTCTTTCCGCATGTCTTAGCTCTCGTCGTCGCTAGCTAGTTTTTTTGATGTACACTCTCGTTTTTACTATTACCAGCAATCCAGTCATTTTCAAGTGTCTCTAGCAGACTCTAAGTAGCTCTACTGACAACTATTTACGAAAGTGTGAAATTAGAGGCTCTTAGAGGCCTTTGATCTGGTTGTATATTGATAGCTCTCTTGTAGAGTCTCGTCGAGATTTTGGCTGTGAGTTAGTGGCTTATAAAGGCAAAATTGACTACTACTAGGTTCCTCTACCTGCCACTCACAGCCTCTTGTCACTTTTGACTGGGCCTAAGCCGCGATGAGTGCAACTCGTAGAAAGCGGTGCAAACAGCCAAAGAAGACAATTACCGATGCGTCGGTAAATGCCGTGATACTGCTCTCTTCGACCGTCACCGCAACGTCAATGCATCAACGTACAACACAAACTAACCGTCCTTCCTTTGAATTCCCACTCAACGGTCGTATTCCCCCAAGCTGCTTGGCAGAAAGCTTATCTGCAGACACTCCTAAGACGAAGCGGGTAAGCTTGTTTGTACTGGTTTATTGTGGGCAATAGCTCATTAGGTTAGCCCTGATCTCATGTATCATGACGTTGGTGACAGCTTTTTGCGACGCCTCTCCAAGGAAACAGCACACAAGGAGTTTTTGCCATGTCGACGTACTGGAAATAATCGCATCGCTGTCATCGTGACCCACAAGCTCCCACCCTGTGAAGCCAAGACGTCCGAGCCTAGCCAAAACTCTAGGGAAAAACTCCGTTCACCACGCTCGTCTAGTGCTCGATAGACTACCCATTGCATCGCCCCCGAGAAGGTACCCACGATGGGTCTTCCCTAACTATCCTTGCGACAGCTCCTTTGTCGTCGGTGTTGCCCATAGGCATCTATTGTGTATGCGACATCGTCAGGACGCTTATGCCGCACCGTGCGCCAGGATGGCCGTGCTTGTCGCGGATTGTGCACAGGTACCTTTGCTGATGGTTATAGAGGATAGTCAGACAGACACTTAGGTACGGTTATAGAGTCGACCCCACCGTTGTCAATCCGTCGGCTTTTGCGATGCAAAACAGAAAGGCTAGACAAGACACCGGTACTGCGGAAACATGTTGTCTTGGCTGTGATTTTAATGTTTGGATTGGCTCCTGGATTGAAAACGTGCTCTTGATACCCGATGGGATACGTTGGGTGGTAGCGGTGTGCTATTGGCAAGTACTATGAGCGAACTTATTCACGTTTGCGTTGCTATCTTTTGCTAACACGGAATACTTCAAGCTCTATTTTCTCAGCCACAGAATTTCATCTTCGGATGGGTCTTTCTAGGCTATGGATCCTTCTGCCTTATTTTAACGGACGGCCTTCGCAACGTTCCAAAGCTTGCGGTTGCATATGATCATTATCATCTTTCGAGTGATTCTAGTAATCTGTCCTTTTATATATCGGCTGAAAGTCCTTTTCTTTGGATTCCTCATATGTATAGCTTTGTAAATGTTACACGCAGTGACGAGTTGGCGATGTCGTTTTCGTCGCGTTACCTCTGTCGCCCTATGCCACCGGAAGGCACATGCTCATTTCTCGTGTTTACACCGTTGGTTTGATTTTCTTTGCAATTTTGCAAATCCAGATATGACACTCAACTCGTTTCACCCAATAACGGCCCCATAAGTCTTCTGGTTCATTTCCACGATCTCCAGACGGACAGGAGCCAGGATGGGCCAAGTTGGGAAGTGAATGTATTTGCAAGAGCTTCTGTTTGGATCATTGATATCGGCGAAAAAAAGTCGGCTTTGAAGATCCTCCGTGCTCAGGTGGTGCTAGATTATATACACATGCTTAAATTATCTTCTCCATCGCGCTTCGCGTTCGATAAGCGTACGGAAATGGGACTGGTTTGGCACGCTCTTGGTGCGCAGGCATCCTATTTGGACCACGGAGGATAACAACCTCCGTCTTCGAGACGGAACGTTTAGACGGACTGTCGCAAAGCCATCACCTAATCGATGAATATCATTTGTTGCACCCCTTTACAGTGGGAGCCGCAAAGACGTTTGTTATATAACGATTTGAGGTCCAACCGAGAACATGTGCAATTGCCTGCTAAAAGATACGTTGGTTCCAACCAACATAGATTGTAAGAATACTATTACTAGTACTCAGGTAGGATAGGAAGCATAACGAGTTCTGTAAACTACGTATTCGCCTTAGCATCTAATAGAGTATCCTATTTAGGCAGGTATCAAGGTTGCGTTTTCGGCATCCATCCAGTGCTAAACCTAATTCGATTTTGGCCTATCACACACATCTACTACCCAGCCCTATGCATTGTTGAACACGCATCTGATACACTAAGATCTTTAAGGTGCAGTGGCCAGGCCAGATTTCGGCTGTCATCCCAGTAGCATCAGAGACACACAGCGAGAGTCACGGTCTCAACGGTACGACCTCGGCCTGTTCCGCCTAGTCCAAGAGGATCGAAACAAACCAATCTCAGGCTAGATCTCGCTGGAAAGACGCGCTTCTCCTGGAAGACCGTTGATGAAGATGTGAATATCTGCCAAAGTCAGCGGCCCTTCTTTATCGTTAAACGGTGAGTGTGTTTCCGTCGTGCATCGCTTGACGTCTCATTTTCTGCTAGTGACCGTGATTTGCAAATACGGTCTGTTACACTACTCCTCGTGCCGAAAAAGTTGCAGTATTACTCATGTCCATAGCCTATTAACTTCTTTATAGCGTTCTTTCAGGACCAGAAAGTCCACATACACCTACATCAGAGCTATTCGCAGCCCCAACTTCCAAAAGTTCCAAGTTTTTACAGACACGAACATCAGTCTTGCCTTAACATGTCACGCACAGCTCACATTCTGGCCCAGCCAATCATGTTTCCCTTTAGTGGTAAAATAGCAAAAAATAGATTCATGAAGAGTGCCATGTCTGAGCGTCTGGCTACTTTCTCTACATACGACTCCGACGAACGGGGTCAACCAACTGAAGAGCTCATACGCCTCTATGACACTTGGTCCAGGGGCGATATAGGTGATAATAACACATCTCTTGATTTTAAAGTACCAGCTTTTAGCTCATCTTGTATTTTTATCAGGTATTCTTATTACAGGGAACATTCAAATCAAACATGATCACCTAGAAGCGACAGGTATGATGCTTCATGTTCACTCTTTTTAGAACTACTAACTTGACACATATGATTACATAGGAAATGCTATCATCGACTGGGACCTTCCGTCCGACTACGTCGACGAATTTTCCAAGCTAGCTCGAGCTGCTAAAGCGCGAGGGAGCCTAGTAATAGGCCAGCTGAGCCACCCAGGTCGACAAGTTTCAATCAACATCCAACCCTACCCAGAATCTGCCTCTGATATCGAGCAGCCCCCTGCAGGTGGTGTCGTTTTTGGACGTCCATCCCCCTTAACGAGGCCGGCTATTCAAGACATCGTGGATCGGTTTGCGTTTTCAGCTTGTGTTCTTCACCAAGCTGGATTTGACGGTGTACAAGTACGGGTTTATTATTTTACTAGCCATGGGAAATGGTATCCAGAGTATGACGGCTGATTTTTATAATTGTGATTTTGTGGGGTTAGCTACACGCTGCACACGGCTTCCTACTAGCGCAATTCCTTTCAAGGCGCACAAACCAGAGGAAAGATGAATTCGGTGGCACACTCGCCAACAGATCGCGACTGCTTTTTCAGATTATTGCCGCTATCAGAACGACCGTCAATGATCCCAAGTTTATAATATCAGTTAAGCTCAATTCTCAGGATTTCACCCAGGATGGATTCAGCGCCAATGAATCAAGAGAGATCGCCATGCGACTTGAACAAGCGGGAGTGGATCTCATCGAACTTAGTGGTGGCACGTATGAACTAGCTATTTCAAGTTCTCATTCCGCACAGGAGGTATGCTGCAAGCTAGGAGACGTCTACGTGTACTAAACAGAGTCTCTTTACCACTTTGCAGAGAACACCTGCGGTGGCTCGTGAAGCCTACTTCTTGGACTTTGCCGAACAATTGCGTCCTCATATCAAGCGGACTAAGGTTGCTGTCACCGGTGGCTTCAGGTCTGCAGCAATCATGGCGAAAGCTGTAGACGAACGAGCCGCAGATAGTGCGTGATTCTCTCACTCGAAAAGGCTCTCTCATATCCTTAATCTAACCGTAATAATCTAGTTATCGGCTTGGGCCGTCCACTTACAGCAGAACCACTGCTAGTGAAAGAACTTATCGCAGGGGAGAAGACCCAAGCGAAAGGCGACAAGTTCCCAGAAGGCCAGCTGATACGAGTACGTCACCCCCCGTTGCTGTGGCCCGACGAGCATGGGCACAGCTTACCTTACAGCAGTGAATTTAATTACTTCCCATTTTTCTGTTCCTTTTTGCTTAGATGGCTGCCGCAGCTTCACAAATCGCGGAGATCGGGAACGGCATGGATATCACTGACTTTGATAACGGGTTCAACGTTTCAAGATTTTTGGCCAAGCTGCAGAAAGAGATGCCAGCTACGATGTCGGAGGCACTTTCTTCGCACAATAGCATCAGAAGATGATGACGCTTGTATTAGTGATGGAGGATGTACATTTTGTTGGATTTCTTATCTACGGAGTTTTGCGTGCTTGCTTTTTCCTCTTCTTCTTTGGTTTTTTTTCTGTGTAGGATAGTCTATGTAATATCAGCTGCCATACCTTGTATTGTCAGATTTACGCTTTCACGCTTTTTACTTTTCGCTAAAAAACACGTTCATGCCGGTGTCAAAATTTGTACAAGTGATAGATATATATATTTTTTTATTATTTCATTTAGTTCATCGCAGTCACAAGTTCACTAGCATTCTGTGCTTCCGGGTTTCAGAGTTTCGGGGTTCTAACGTGGAGGTGCGAAGTTTGAACACAAACCCGCAAGTTGCAGAGGTTGACCCACTTTCGCGAACGAGACGAAGAAGGGTTCCTATTTAGGAAAACCAGGTTCGCTCTCCCGCCAAACTGACGCAACTCAATCTTTTCGCGTTACCACCCTAGTTTTCTTCACTGCAATGTGAAAGTCGGCATAATGCAACGCTTGTTACAAGCTTGTTTCACTATCAGTACACGTTGTATGTTATGCTCACACATGAGCACGAAAACTCTAATCAGCCCCACATCAATAAAAGTTGGATCAGGTCGCCGCCGGCCTAGGGACAGAATCATGCCCCTCTCCTATATAGCTTCTACCAAAAAATGAAGCCGTAATTATGATGCGGTCATTGACTTGAATCCACCTGTCCATCCGGTCTTTTGAGATGAGTTGCTTAGCAGAAGCTGTCGCTAGGAGTGTTTTTTCTTTCGTCGCACTCATCACTTTATTTTAGAGAGGCTAGGTTACGGAGGTAAACAGCCTCCGCTATCCATCCTCCGGGTCCATCCTCCGAGTTCCCAGATCTCGTCTCGCAGAAAATAGCAGGACATGCACTATTGATATATTTCAATTGATTGTACAAGGTTCTATGAAAATCAATGGACATGCAGCTGAGGTGCGAGGATTACGCTAACCCGAACGTTTCGCCTTGGCACCAAACTATCGCAGGAGATTTTGCCATCTCCGTTTGGCTGTAAATTTTTTTAAACCTTGTGCATACGTAGAGAATCTCTCCATGGAATGCCCTTCATCCCAGGGGACTTCCCGGCTTGGCCTGTGAAATTTCACTGCGAGCATTCAGATTGCAAGTTTGGCTTCTCGTTTAGATGCCCGCGCGTCCATTTGAACTTGCATCCGCAACCATGGCACTATGCTCCGAATGATAGATTTTTTTCCCGGATCCTGGTGATCGCAATGTGACACTGTTAATCTGCCTAGAGTATAGTAAGCTCTATCCCAGTGCAGATGGTGGATGGTGAATGGTGCCTGGTCCCGATATAGACCTTCCATCCTGGACATTCTGAACAGATGCTGTACAGTCATTCTCAGGCCCTTCAGAACGAGGTGAAAGATGTGACGCAGTCGGATGCTCGACTCTGATCGATATGGCAGAAATACTCATAGAGACAAATATGAGCAAGGCAAAAGATGTTACGTAAATCACATGTTTTCGTCTCTCTCGACCCCGCGGGCACGGAGGTTGCAATCGTCCGGCTGGTGTAACACACACCAAGACCGGATGATCTATATGGTAATACGGCACGCCGATCCCTTTTTTTCCCTACGTGATGTGAATCTCATGTGCATCATGTCAAAAGGTATGAACGGAAAAGTGCCTACCTCTACTCCTTGATATATTTTCGCCGTACGGATATTGCTATCTGCGAGCGCGAGTGAATAGAACCGAATTAAGCACGACATCCCGCTCGAATAGTTATATTGTCGCTTGTGCCTGCTCTCCAGACTAGTATGGTTGGATATAAACCTGGAAGTCAAACTCACGTGAGCGTTGACAGAGTTTGATATTTGCTTTGCATGTAGGCGCGATGCCATTGTCATCCATGGGCTGCGCTGCTGGGTTGGAATTCACATGGACGTTTTTTTAGATCCGAAGCCCCCCGGTGATACCCAATAACATTTGTCTGGTAATCAAAATATAAAAAACAGTGCCACCTCGTGCCTTGATAAATACAACCGCAGAGGATTTATGTGGTAGGGTTGAGATGATGTGATATTCGGTCCTGCAGGAGAATGGGCGCTGGCTCGCTTTTCGGAAGCGCAAGGAATGTGCATTCGTTTTTCAGGCTTCTAGTTCGACGTATTGGGCGATGTGACTTGTGCTAGGATCCTACGCCTGCAGGTGAAGTGGAGTTGAAAGTTTGTTTAGTAAGGAAGGAGCTCGAAAAGCCCAAACATCAAACATCAGATTCGAATTTCTCACTCTTACTCGACGTCTTCTTCAGCTTCCGCCCACGTACTTGGATAGAGCGCGGTGATAAACAGAGTTTGTTTCATTTGACCTGCGTGTTTGTTCACCCCTTCCTTCCAGAATAATAAGTGTTCTCTGGGAACCTGTTTTTGCGTGCAGGGCACTATGCACACACTTCTTCCTCCAACATTTCTGCATTGCGCGCCACGGAACTAAAAGGCCTCCGTGAGGAACGAAAAGTACGACGCCTCGCTGGGAAGGTTGGGCGCCTTCGAATCATGGTATTGTAGGGTTGAGCACGAAGATTGAATACAAGGTGACAAACAGATAGGTAATAAGAGCTAGATTGTTGGAAACACAGCCCCGACGAGTAAAGTGAATACGACGCCTCGCTGGGGTAAGTGAGGCGCTAGTTCCAAGATCTGTCCAGGTGTAGGGCGCTGAGCGTACTCTCGGAGTTTAATTATCAGGGTATCAAGCATATCTGATAAGTGATGATAGAATTGGGTTGCTGCTTATTTTGAGAATGCTTTAACTGAAGTGTCGCCGAGAACGTATGTATTAACTACGTGCATCTCGGGAGCTTGGTTGTATGCGCGGGTTACTGCAGGTCTGGGGCAATCGTAGATGATGGCATGTTATCTGAAAACCATGATACAAACGTTTGATATGCGTGCATGATCAGAATGCTCGGAAAATATGGATGTTGATTCGTTTTTTAGTGATACGATGTGATCGAAAAGAGTAAAAAGATCGCGTTGTACAGGCGATATTACATGGAATTCAGCGTGGCAATAGAAGAAAAGCGCGTAAAGTGATAAGGAACTTACTTACGTCTTCGTCTTGAACCTGCGGGATAGAAACGCCCCTTCAGGCGCGTATGATTATACTAATAGTGGTACCAGATGACGACGGGAAACATAGCGTTCGAGCTGTAACGAGTTGATGCATACCGATCGAATGGACCCACTTGAACCTTTGGAACGTACGAAGCAATTAAGTAGTTAGGTCACGCGATCGGTGTAATCAAGAAAGATCAGTTACGTCCATTGAGCTGAGACGGGGTCTTGTATTTGATTAACAGGCTTAGTCAGACAGAACCAAGGGAGCGAGGCCAGGGCTCATCAAGTTACAAGTGGTCAAGCCTATGGTTGAGTCGTGTTTCAAGTGAGGTGGATATTGCTTATTTGTGCTGATAGTCATGTGCGAAGTGGTGATGTGCATTCAAAGGCCCCCAAATATCCGTGCGGTACCACCTTGTTTCGTCAGAAGTTCGATGAAAAGTGACCAGATGTGGGTGTTTGATGTGGGTGTTGTGGGTGTTGTTGTGATCTACGCCGCTGGAGAAAAGAGTCGCCGAGTGATCTGTGCTTGTCTGTGCAGGTAATGCCACACCGGGTACGGGCCTCATGGGAGGACGGATGTTTAATTATGGTTGCGGTTAGTTTGAAGAAACCCGGAGGTGAGCATACTCAGCGACACATTTGAGTAAGACATACAAGCTGGCACCACGGGTGATGAAAAGTACCTGATCATGTCAGCGGCGCCACGCTAGCTGATTATGAAGACAGGTGGGTTCGGTGTTCGACCTTGATTCTGTTTCGCATTTGCCATGAACGTATGAATCAGATGCGATGGGCGAGGAGTGGATGAAGACGAGCGCTGACAGTCCCGAGAAGGGATGCAGGGTAGCGTGGGCGCGCGAAGAGACAGAAAGAGCGAGATGCGTCTGGCAGATCTCACTGATAGCCAAGTGTAAAAGCTTGAAAGTCACAGGTCACATGACCATATAATACAACATGTGTTGGGGTCTCACCGGAAGAGACTGTTTGCTCGGCCGCCGTCGGGCTGTCCCCTTGCACGACAACGGCGACGCAGCGATTGGCGCGGAGTCTCGGCCGGAGGTGGGGCCGATGTGACGGTGACGTGATCTGAACTCGCATACTTTTATTCACCGTGGATTGACAGCACTGGAGTGAATTCACAATTCTTTATCAATTACTTGTTTGGTTTCGTTTCGAATACTTGTGTCCCGTCAGATCGCATATAAGGTTCTCCTCCCCTCGCTTTCTAGTTAGCCCCTCGTCTCATCTCACCCATGCTTACTTCTCGTCCAGGTAACTTTCGTCTTCGCATAGCCAGAGACATCCTCCAGGCTTTGGTGCTGCCCCCCATCGCCCTCTCTTTCTACACCCAATGGACACATATTCGCCTCGGCTACTGGTCTTTGCCAGCTTATGTTCTCTCTATAGTCCTGGCCGCAGTTGCAAGAGTACAGTACTCTGATTTCGCACAGGCGCGTGAGGCCAGGCGCCTTGGTGCGCGTCCAATACCCCGCGTCGTTGGTAAATGGCCAGGAAATATCGACGTCATGCTTAGATTCAAGAAGGGCTTCAAGAAAGGCTACATATACGAACCTTATCTCCAGTTGTTCGAAGAATACCAATGCACCACTCTCAACACCCGCTTTCTATGGACTGATAATGTGAGTATTACTGTCATCTCATCTACTATCAATTGGTTTGTATCACTTGATCCACGTTGTCCTTTGATTATGGCTCTCTGGAGCGCTAATCAACTCGTGCCAATGATTGATTGACACGAACCACCCACCGGCATATGCCCCATTCCCTATTTGTCTCGGCTTAAATTGCCGATACTTCAGAAAGCAGCGCTCACACCCCTTACGTGATTCCCAGATTATCAGCATGGACCAAGAACATTCTAAATACGTCCTTTCAACCGGCTTCAGTCATTTTTGGAGAGGTACCGCCCAAAAAGAGAGATTGTGAGACTATTCCATTAATTATATTCCCGCGTTTTCAGCCCAGCTTCTCACTCTAATCACATCTTTTTCTAGAGAGAATTTCTTGGGTGATGGAATCTTTAATCGTGATGAAGAGGTAAGCTTTGATTCCCATCTCTTCGCATTATCTCATACTGATATCTCGTTCCATTTACAGCAATGGAGAATGGTCCGCCTTGCCATTCTCTGACTTCCTCGCACGATGCTTACGCCACACTGATCCATTTAGCATCGAGCCATGGCTCGCCCATTTTTCGCCCGTGATCGCATCTCAGACTTTGAGCTCTTTGAGAAACACACACATCACACGCTGGCCATCCTGTCAAACATCGCTTCTTCTGGAAGACCTTGTGATGTTCAGGACCTCTATGCCAGATTCACTATAGACGCATCCTCCGAGTTCCTCTTCGGCCAGAATCTCAATACGCTTTGCGGGAAACTCCCGGTGCCCGGATGCGAAGATATGAGTGCCAAGGGAACCGCAACAAATGATTCTTGGGGATCCTTTGTCCAAGCTTTTGAGGCTGTTCAGCAAATCGTCACGCTGCGGGGACGCACAGGGAACATCTGGCCTCTTTTCGAGTTATTTGAGGACAAGACAGCTCCCTATGTCAAAGCCATCAATCAATGGATCGACCCGCTTGTCCAGAACACGCTGTCTCACAAGGCGGCCATGCAGAAGGCCGGTGTACAGAGTAATTTGCAAGATAAAACCTTTTTACAGCATCTGGCTGACAGCACTGAAGGTCAGCTACCCTCTTGAATTTTAATTATGTAGACTAACTAGCTGATTTGGTAAAGACGCTGGTGTTATTCGTGATCAGCTGCTGAATATATTACTGGCGGCGCGAGATACGGTCAGTTAGGTCTCCGCTGAACACGGTCGATTTTAACTTGATGGTACATTTCTAGACGGCCTGCTTATTAACTTACGTGACCTATTTCATGGCTGTGTATCCGGACGTCACCAGAAAGCTGCGCCAGGAGGTTTTGGACAACTGCGGCCAGGAGGCACCCACTTACGAAAATATTAAACGACTGAGGTACAGTAAGTTACTCCATTCACTCCACTTATACTCCTCCTTGGGCAATACACTCACCCCGGTCCCTCTACAGTGAAGGCCGTCATTGATGAGACGCTCAGGCTGTACCCCCCAGTCCCTATCAACCAACGCCAAAGCAGACCCACGTCATGTACGCTTCCGTCGCCCGACCCTACATACCCCTCGGAGTCCCGCCAGCCACTGTACATGCCAAAAACGACAACCTTCTTCTATTCGACGCTTCTGATGCAGCGGAACAAGACCCTGTGGGGCCCTGATGCGGATGAGTTCGATCCGGAGAGGTGGATTGACCCTGAGAAACTCTCGAAGTTTACGGCGAATCCTATGATGTATGCACCTTTTAGCGCTGGTCCGCGTATTGTACGATGATCTACTCCATATTTTCCTTGATGTTGAACTAATCTAGGCCTATTCTAATTGTAGTGTATCGGCCAGAACTACGCTTTTAACGAGGCTATGTTTTTTCTCGTGAGGCTTTTACAACGTTTCGACACCTTTACGCTTGCGACGGACGCCCAGCCCAAGAGTTCACTCCCGCCATCTGAGTGGAAATGCGGGACTGGGCGAAAGGCTGTTGAGATGATTCGCCCAGAGGCAGCAATGACACTGTTCATTAGTGTGAGTGTTCTTGGGGGGCTTGCATGGAAATCTTGACATTCACTGACGCGATGCTTGGCGATAGGGCGGCTTGTGGGTACGGCTAGGTCGATCGAGCTCTTCTATGTGAGATGTGGTTTTCGTGATCGCACTACTGTTCTTTTTATGGACTTCCGGCGAAAGAAACGAAGCGGTATCCTTGGGTTTATGATGGGATGCGCAGGGCTGACCGGACATGGGATTTGCAAGGCCTCGACGGACATTGCATTAGCATTTTCTTATTTATTCCTCCGTTATTTTCAGGATAGAAGACATCACTTGAATATACCCGATAACCCCTTGTGACTGTCGCTGTACATAACTAGCTTGTATTTGTAGTGGGCAACATTGAACCGGGAAAACAATTGTGGATTTCGGGACTCCGTCTGGTTGAGCGCTGTTTGAAGACTTGAGGGTTTGGCTTGGCTTGGCTTTTTTTTTCTTTGCGTATCTGAGTATTTGAATGACTAGAACGCGCTTGTCCACGGCGCCTGAACGGATTAATGTGATGCAAGGTGTATTCCATTCTCTATTCTTCCTTGGACGTGTGGGCGCACAATGGGAAGACTGTTCTCCGTTCTGCCCACCACTACAGCCGCTCGTGCACGATCGATGGCGGCGTCTGTTTTGTCCTCTCCTTTATTACAGCCGTATTCAGACAGAAGAGTCCCCTCCCCACAACTGGCATGAACGTTCCCCTGGAATATTTGAAGCAACAGCGCCGTGTCTGTCATCGCCCCCTCCACACTCACAATGACTGGAGCGTCTCGGAAGAGAGTATAGCCGTCAAAGCCTTCTGCGATGAAATTTACCATCGCGACTGTGTACTGCGCGTCTGAATTGAGCGGTGTTGACGTGACACCTGTCTCGTGCGCATTCATCGGATGAACTGTCTGTGGTACTAAGGATGGAATGGAGGAGTGGCTGCGGACGAGGCAGGCAGTTAATATGCGGGAGCCAACGGGGCGACAAGAGTCAACCTTGATGGATAAGCCGGAGAGTTGGAAGAACCGGCCGTCAACGATATCAGATACTGAGTTTTCTAGCGCTGATAGGATGGTGCGCCCAGGTAGACGCTTTACTACGAATGGATTGTCAAATGGAAGGATATCTAGTAATGCAGTTTTGTAACAAAATGATAAGACGCGGAGGCAAGGGGGTTTAGCCCGGAAAAGGGGGACGTACCGATGAGGTCTTTAACTCGCCCTCTTCTAATATTCAGTTACAGCGTAGTCCTCCAGAGTTGATAAGCGCGATGTCAACGTCGTAGTATGCGCGTACGGCATCTGCGATCATGTTCCCAAGGTTTGTTTCTGTAGTGCGGACGATGGAAGAGCGACCGTCAAGTGGGATGGCGGCGTACAGCACGGGCTTGTCGATCACGGTGGCCATCCTGCTCTGGATCGATGACAGAATGGTGTGTATGACTGAGTCTTCGGGATGGTGTTTGGGAAGCGATATATCTCGCATTAGATGTACTGCGATAAGAAATCACTTTAGAGGTCATAGCAACACAGATTACCAACAAAGGATGGAGTTGATCTTTTCTTACCCTTGACATTTTCGACACCTGTCTTGCCGTCCTTACGGAAAACGTGGAGGTGCACGATGCTATAGCTCTTGAAATCCATACCCGACTTGATGATTTTGATTTTCCCTTGAAATATATCGTTAACCGCTGACATATGTGATCCGTGGACGAGTGGATCGTGATCATGCCCGCCAAGGATGAGGTCGACGTCCTCACTGCATGCTTCGGCAAGTTTAATGTCCTCCTCGAGACGCATGTGGGTGAGAGCGATGACAAGATCTGCACCGTTGGATCGAAGAAGACGAGAGACGCGCTGCGCGACGGGAATTGGGTCGAGGATGCGCGAATCAATTGGGAGATGTTGGCAGTTTGATGGCCAGTCACTGGATTGATAGCGACATCAGTGAACTAGTTGACTAGTGAAACAGGACTAAGAAGAAAGACTAGACTGACGTTCCTGCAAGACCGAAGAATCCGATGTTGTAGCCTCTGTGGCGGAGTATGAGGTGTTCCTTCGCTGAAGCAAGCAGACGGTCATCGGAATGCACGGCGTTGGCGAGTAGCCAGCGGAACGTGCATTGTTCTGAAAGAGCCGAGAGAATGTCTTCGCCAAAGTCAAAATCTAGAGACACAGACAAAGACAAAGAATTGTGCACCGCAATGAGTTATCAAAGTCAAATGATGAGAGAGACATTCTGAAATACTGCGAGACATACCATGATTTCCGTAACATGCAACTGTCGACGAGGAGATGATTGAGAACGGGGATGATGTGTTCGCCTTTCATCACCGAGCTTTCTAGGGATGGGCTAAATGCATCCCCACTAAAGACCGTCAAAGGCTTCTCGTCGTCTATGAGACCTGATTTTGCACTCCGTAAGTCATGAGAAAAACGGCCTAGGAGTTGGGTTTGGATGGTACTGTAGAAGGTCATGACGTCATTACATGCAATTTGCAGAAAGAAAGCTGGACGTATGGAGCGTGAAATTGACATACGATGTCGTTGAAGTGATAAAACATCAACTCGTCAGTGCAGTATTCCATTCTTGAAGGTCGGAGCTGAGGTGGATCCTATCATACCAAAAGACCAGGCACCTTAGCGATAACGCTAGCTACTTCGGAGCTCTTCAGGCTACGGAAGTAAACCTGTCGATGAAGTTTCAAATGAGAAAATGTGCTTTTACGAGGAAGTGATTGAAGTCAAGACATTCAGGATAAGCATGATGGTTGGCGCGTAGACTCAAACGCGGTACCGCGTTTCCAACTCTGACTCGGAGTCATTCCGGAAACATACTAGGAGGAAGTACATGGCACAGCCTTGGCGAAGCAAGATAAAACACGTCAGCTTGATTGCGTGCTGCACCTTTCATTGGAACATAACCTGGCTATATTGTGATCATGGTATACTCCTTGTGAATGGCGAGGGGATAAGTATGTGAGCAAGCGTGTAGTTATATATCAGCCGTACGTGGTCAAAACCGTGAGTGCGCGACCTGCATGTAGCCTGAACCCAACCCAGTAATCGCTAAATAGGTCAATTGAAGTCTATCATGAGTCTACTATAACTCCCAGTAAGTAAATACACTAACCACGATACCGTCAATGGGGGAAGGTTCAAAAAGAATAATTAAGACAAGAATACTGTAATGGGTGAACAGAAATCTGAAGATGATTGAGAGGAGAAGAGAAAGCTTGGAAACCATGCAGATTGTAATGATTTGGAATGATGCAGTGTAAGGATGAATGGTAACATAACACATGGATGTGATACAACAAGAAAGGTGGAATCAGTATATCATAATATTGTACGTATCTTCCCTCCTAAAACAACGACGAAGTCAGATACGCTCAAAGCAGTCGACACAGACTGTGCCATCGCTAAATACATGAACTGATATTAGCATACTGGTGAAATATCCGACTCTGGGTCTTACTTTTGTACGTTCTCCACAGAGCAATTGCGACACAAAGTTCTACCACACCCGGGGACAAGCCACTGACCATCGATGATCGTCTCCTCATCGCCTTCATCCCTATCTTCCTTGCCTTGGCCATGGCATATGCCATTACCATCGCCTCCGTCTCTCGCTTTTCGTCTCCTGCCGGCGACGACTGGGGCGACGTCACAGTTTGCGGTCGACGTATTGAGCGAGAGAGCAGGGCGGCGGGGTGATGGCCATATGTATGGCAGTGATACGAATGGTGAGGGGGAAGGCGAAGGCGAGGAAGTCAGCGAATGTGAAAGTGTGGGCGTGGGCGGGAAGGACGGCGTGCGATTGTGAGCGGTACACGTGCGCGAGCAGATGATGCAAGTCGGTGATGCACATCTACAAGCAAGGATTTACATTATTCAGATGCATCTCGGTTATATGGCTCTATAGCTGCTAGTACGAACCTTGCACAGAGTAAAAGCGCCCCCGTACCAGACCTTGAGCCGGGGAAAAGCGCACGGTGGCAGGATGTACAGGACAGGCCTGCCACAAGTGGTTTTGAAGACGTATTGTTGGTGCCGACAGCGCTGTTTACATTGGAAGGAGCCAGTGCAAGTGCTGTGACTGTTGAAGTTGGCGACGAGCCAAGCCTTCTGCGCTTGAAAAGTGGTTTCTTGACTGACGGAGTGGATGTCATACCACAGCAGGAAGCAGGACGAGAAAGGGGTAACGAGGTAAGAGAAAAACCGTGGAGAGGCTCAATTGACGACGACTGCGTGGTTAGTGTCGAAAACATTGCTACGACGCCCAGCGATACGAAAACCGTGACAAAAAGAATGAATCACAAACGGCGTCAATTACAATTCCGTGACGACTTGGTTGGTGTGGGTCTTCGAATGCCGTGAAGGGGGAAAAAAATTACATACACAGACCAGTGTACGCCGAAGGGGAGTCGAACCCCTGCCGCTTGCTTGGAAGGCAAGCATGATAACCGCTTCACCATCGGCGTGATAAAATGTGGATATCGTTGACGCATGTTGGTGCGGAAATATCTTCCAGTAAGCGATAGCCTGGACCTATCACACTGCGACATCTTAGCTTTCGCCGTCATCGTCATCGACATTACGATCATGGTTTATGCTGGTTTGTCAATTCTCATGAAGAAAGGACCCAACTAAAACCTCATTATAGCCCAAAGACATGCTCTCAAAGCGTTCGAGAAGCTCGTGCAGCTTCTACCGGCTACAGAGAAGGCAAAAGTAAGTATACTCCATGCTCCACAAAGGTGCCAAGCACTGATGCTATGCTACATTATCGCAGCCTCAGATAGTCCTTTTGGCGGGGGAACATACACCCTTTAGACATGACACCGATCGCGAGATGCCATTCAGACAGGAGTCCAACTTCTACTATCTCTCAGGATGCACCGTCCCTGCCTCCTTCCTCCTCCTCGTTTACCAGGCTTCGACATCGCTTTCAAAGACCCCTGTCATTGATCTGTTTATCCCAAAGGCAGAGTTGGCAGACATGATGTGGAGTGTACCCCCACCTTCGCTGGAAGTGGCTAAGCAGACGCATGAGGTGACAAAGGTCGATCACCCAACTGCTCTACCTGAAGCTATTCAGGATCTCGTAAAAGCGTTTCCAGAAGCACTGTTCCATACTCTTCCCAGGAACTCGCCCCTTTTCCCAGAGCTTCCAGAGGAGTACACGTCTGCTGTATTGTCTCCTAGTAATCCATCTGGCGCGGTGACCGATGCGTATCTCTTGTCAGCTCTCCATCGCGCGAGGTTAACAAAGGATGAGGATGAGATTCGGTACATCAAACATGCAAACGAGATTAGCTCGCGTGCACATGAGGTCGTCATGAGAGTTCTAGGGAAAGCCGTGCAGGGAAAGATCCAGAAAGAACAAGGCGCTGGAGTTGACAGACCACTTTTGCCTGGAGAATGGCTCATCGAGAAAGAAGCTGAAGCAGAGGCTATTTTTGTAGCGTCATGCAGAAGGGAAGGGTACGATCTTTTTTAGCTGCGACTTTGAAGAGCTTGAGCTGATCTAAATATCAGGGCTGTACATCAAGCTTATTTGCCTATAGTCGCTGCCTCGACAAGAGCTTCAACTTTGCACTACTGCTGCAACGATCGTGAATTTTCTTGGGGGCCTGTGAAGCCTCACGATCATCACAATCGTAACGAGTTTGCTCACGGCGGAGATCGAGAGCTGAATCCGCAGGTCTTGCTCATTGACGCTGGATGCGAATGGAACTGTTATGCTTCTGATAGTACGCTGTGATCTCTGATACAGTATAATTTGAATAATTGGACTGATTCACTTGTTACAGTTACCAGGACTATGCCTGTAGGCAATGGTGGCAAGTTCACGCCCGAGGCAAAGGCTATATATGAACTTGTACTTGAGATGCAAAAAGTGAGTATATTTGTATGTGTAAAATCATAATAGTGACACGTCGAAGCTTTCTATGGACATACTCCGCGCAGGCCTCCATTGGGATGCTGTTCAATTACTGTGCCATCGGACTCTCGTTAAGGGTTTCCAACGCCTCGGCATCTTCAAGACGCCCAACTCAACCAACTCGGGTTCGTGGAATGCCGAAGAGGCCATCCTCGCCTCTGGCGTGAGCGCTGCATTTTTTCCTCATGGTGTAGGCCACTCTTTAGGCATGGACGTACATGATGTGCCGAGCGCGAGTAAGCCAGCCGTTAATGAAACAATAGGGAAGGAGGGAAGCAGGGGCAATGAGGCATTCTATGCGTACTTGAGATTGCGATTGCCATTAGAGGAGGGTATGGTTGTGGTAAGTGTTTCGCTATACTAGTTTTCATTTGTCTATCTGCTATGTTATGGTGTCTGACTTGGTTTTTTGTGCAGACTGTGGAGCCTGGGATTTACTTCTCGCCCCATTTGCTAGCCCCTGTGCGTGACTCGAAGCACATCGATCACGAGGTGCTCAAGAAGTACGAAAACGTCGGCGGAGTAAGGATCGAAGATGTTGTGTTGATTACTAAGAATGGGCATGAAAACTTGACGACGGTGAGGAGCGATGTAGAGTGGCTGGAGAAGGTTTGTTCAGGAGAAATCTGAGGGGATGGGATGATGGAAAAGAAAATTGTCGCTGCTGTGTATGATAGTTGTAGGAATACCGTATGGAGTTGACATCTTCTCATCGAGACCGCCTTTGCTTCTGATCACAATCACGGCCTAGAATTCATCTGCTGCAGTATATGTGTTTCACATATCCTAGGAGGGTGCAGGTCTGGTGATACACTTACTATCTTGAATATTACTAATACTTTGAAGTGCTCAGCGCTCTCAGAATGGTTACATTTTTATGACCCGTACTTTCCGGCGAGCTCATTGACATGCTCATGCAAGTACCGTGCTTGAAATAGCTCTTTCCCCAAGTATCGAACAGCGCTCAGCGATGTCCAACCGCGTCAAAAGTGCTATCATAGAGCAGCCTCAGAGCACTTTTTGGCTCGGCTAATGTCGGACATCAGTACAGATGAGAGTCTCGAGAGTCGAGGATCATTACAGACTATCAAGATAATCTTCGAATTTGGGAGTGTAAGCGCAAGTACGATGTATACTATAATGGAATGATCCCCGACTCTAAGCGTTAGTTGAGGAGGGTTCTGTGGGTAGCAAACGGCCATCGCTCTGTCGATTGCTCTGCAAAATGAGGTAAATTAAATTTCTGATTAGTAATGCTGTGTTCTTCCTTTTTTTATGTAATTACTTCCTTTTCTGTAACATATTGCGATCCGCATTATTTACACTCCGACTGTATAGTTTGTATTTGATCTCCACCACTATTCATTATTTAGGACTCACACTGTTCCCCAGACTCCAAACCAGTCAACATATGTGTGTACATCTGACCGAAATTGTGATTAGATAATTTGATTATATAATTATCCAAGACTTTACTGAAACTTGAGTTGAGCATAACACATATGGCTGGCTGGCAAAACTTGTAGTGGTGCCAGATTTTGGTTTATTTGCACCACCAAAGATTGCCACCGAATCTGACGTCTTTCAGTTGGCTAAAGTCAAAAACAGTCTGACTGTTCCCTGACTCCATTTATGGTTAAATTCATAACAATAGACCAATATTTTGAAAGATTATATGCATAGGAGTTTGACTGACTTTCCACTGAGTTGATTTGAGTTGGAATATTAGACTAAATCTTAAAAAAAAAAGGCTAAACTGATGTGGTTAGACTCTGACAGAATCACATGCTGGTAACCAGCACTGTAAAATTATTCACACTCTGTTTTTTCTTCCTGTATGTGTGCTCTCACATGGTGGTTTATCAATATCCACTTAGCTGTACTGTTGTTAACTGTCGGTTCAGATGGGAGGCTATTCAGACATCACAGAGGTCACACAAGCCAAGCTGGAGCTCCGCTTGGCACTATCGGTGGTTGAACATGATTTTGAGTGTGGTGCACCTGAACTTACTTTTTGAGATTGTAGTACCTTAGTAGAGTGTTACTTTCTTGAAAGTCACGCACATGGAAGGAGCTCACTCATTAATTCAGGATTTTGTGCTAGGAAAGTTGGAGTAAGTGGTAAGAATACATAGAACTGCAATGGTTTAAGTTGTTGAGGGAAAATGACAGTGGTTTTCAGAAATTTCCAAACAGCCCCCCCCCCATCTGAACTGATGGTAAACAACAGTATGGAGGAAGTTGTTGTGTCAATTTGGACACCTGTCTGTGTTTTGATGTGCATACGGTTTGCCAGAAAAACAAAATAATGCCAATTAGTAAATAAATAAAGCAAAATAACAATATTAAGGTTCTGCCACCTTCCCCAACTCTGAACTTCAAGTTTGCACTGGTGCAACTTGCATTTCAACTATACCAACGACATTCCCATATGCCACTGCCAGTGCTTGCATACTATTACTACTGCCTGCTTTCAGCTAAGTCATTAGTCTTTTGACCCAGCATTATATATAACAAACTGTTACTGTGACAAATATGCAACTTGACCAAAAATACATTGATTTCACCATCACTTTAAACTGTGATCTGTCCTGGTCTTAATATACTGTATGGACAACAATGCAGTAGCGTTGCACACAAAAATTCTGGTTATAAAATGTTTCCTGAAGACAGATGGCCCACTAAGAAGACCTAGACCTTCATTGGGAGATGTTGGACTATACTTCATAATAATGGTGTGAATCTTTGTACCAGCCTAAGGAAAATGGGTGTTTTTTTTGGTAACATCATATCATCTTCTATCAGTATCAGTAAACAAACCTGTATATGCTCTTGAAAATGAAGTTGGCACAACAGTTTTCATGCACAGAGTTTTAGCATTGCCTTAAGATTTGTTTGTGTTTACCCCAGAGTCGGGGATTGGCGCTAGGCGCCGCTACGATTCGGACCCGCAGGCAGGATTCTACACCATGGCTATGCGGCGCCGGGAAAGGCACCATGAGAAAAGAACGTCGGGTGCGAATAGTAAAGTGCATGATCAACGAGGACTGATCAAAAGGTGCTTCGAAGTTTGTGGATTGCCATACGTGTAGCAGGATGGCCCAGATGTCGGATTCGCGGATTCTTGGTGGGATGTGCTTATGGTTAGCTGCCATAGATGTTCATGCAGGTATCACATCAAGTGCATATGGATTTGCGTCGAGGCATGAGACCAGACAGAAAGTAGAAAGGCGAGAACGTATGTTCAATGTAAGAGAGGCTCTTGCACTCGACGAACTCGGGCGGGAAGCAACGATTACCCCAGCGATACACAAGCCGAACGGAAGTTGGGTCCTGCCTTGTTATGAGCTCGATAGGACAGGGTCGGATGTGATACCGCCTGATCAAACCCAGCGGTGAAGCTGATGAAGTAGGAGAGCCGAACAGCTTCAAGAAGAGATGAACAGGTTCGACTGGTACAATCTTCGCCTGTAGATGCGTTGGATAAATAATTGTATCCGTGCGAGCCCTCTCAAAGGTTCCATGTTCACCTTTGGTGGGCATCAAGTCTCTGAGGAGTCTATCGTCAGGCTCCACCTACTGGTAGCCTCATCGTCGGTTTGGCAGTCTGAGTCGTAGAACCTTGATAGAAACGGGGGCTTTACAGTTTATCTCTGCATATAAGGAAGGGTTCCAAATTCGAAGAAAAGAACGATCGTTTCTCGATACGTGGAAAAGCAAGCAATATATCATCACGAATGGATAAAGTATGCTCAAATGGTTTGTATGTTCTTGTGTCCTTGGAGTGAAGACCACGCAGCGCTGAAAAATCTGGAAAGTCGAGTGCAAAAAGTGCTCCAACGCTAATTCAATCACAGCTGTGGCGCCACAAAGGCCTTCCATATAAGGTAGATCAAGTTCAAGATAGAGCCTGGGTCGAAAATATCTTTCTAAAGCTTGTATTCATCCCTGCCGTGGAATAGCTACCTTATGCATCCAATAGATATTCTAGATCGAGAGAATTCGAAGGAAGGCACGTAATCTCAATGAATGGACTTCTGTCACGGAATGCCCAAAGGAATACATCCAGCCACTGGCACCTTGGATTTCTAGAATATTTTTATCCATAAACGTGACGAATGTTGGAATACTTAGAGAATGCTAAATTGTATAAAAGCCTCGCACTTCAATCGACCCTCCACCAGTCACTTTCCCTCGCCCGCCCTTGTACAGACACTCTCTTTCACAGTCGCTCCCTCCATACCAAAATTAAGTCACCATGTTCGCTCGCATCTACAGCTTGTTCTTCGTCCTCTACTTCTCCCTTCTTGCTCTCGCCATCCCCTCTCCCGTGGATGTCGTCCGTCGCGAAGGAGCAGCCACTAGTACTAGTAGTACTAGCAGCAGCAGCAGCAGCCAGTGCAATACTGGGTCGCTCCAATGTTGCGAAAGTACTCACTCGGTAAGTCGCATATACACCAGATTTAGATAACTCAGGCTGAATCTGCTCCTTGCTCAGGCCAGCAGCGTATTCACCGCCAGTGCCCCCCTGAGCATCCTTGCTGCCCTTGGCGGAGGCCTTTTGGGTGTCAATTGCTCCCCGCTCGCTCCCATTGGGGTTGGCTCCGGTGCTAGTTGTGCCCAAGAGCCTATTTGCTGTAGCGGTGATTCATTTGTGAGGATTTTGCAGTTTTCCTTTTTGTTATTTCCTCAACTACAATCAAATACAGAGCGGCCTCATCAACGTCGGTTGTTCTCCCATTAACGTCAACCCTTAAAATCAAGAATGATGTTTTCCCATCCTTTTCTTCTTCAAAGACAATTCAGACCACTTTAGTAACTACCAGTCTTGTTATTTTCTTCTTGCACCGAGTACAGCCTTGCGTACTTGTAGTGCTTTCCAATTCGATGTGTATCGGCTTTTATTTATTACCATCGTTGTTATGGATAGAGCCGGTCCTGTACAGATTGTCGTTTATATACAAGGTCAGATTTGTCCCAGCTTTAAATAATTCCAATATTTTTAAATTCGTGAAAACAATGTTTGCCGTGTGCCAGGTTATCAATTGGATAGAAACTGACACAATAGTAAGAATGAGAGTCATGTCAATCTAACCGAAATCTAACGCACAATTTCATTCGGTACGCGTAGTCCTCGGCAAAGGATCGGCATTCTGAGAAACTTCCGCGTCGATCAAAGCGTGACAAGCAATGTCCATATATGGAAAACTAGGTTCGAGATAGTGGATGTATTTTTCTTTTACTAAGATCATGAGCTCGATGGCGGCGCTGTGACAGAACTGCAAACCCCTCTTTGAGTTTATTTGTGCATCCCGGTCTGTTTATCGCTATTTTACACAGAAAATGTGTCCAATGGGAAGTGGCGCAGACAGCGTGCAGATTTATAATGGGCCAGAAACTTGAACCTTTATAAACCTTGCGTCCACCTAATTTGTCCCCACCTATTCCATCTTCGTACCTGTCCATTTTTTCTTACCTCTCCCATTGTAGAGGCTCTGGAGTCATCATGCACGCCCATTTATCTATCTTTCTCCTTGTGCCTTTCTTTGCTTCATTCGCAGTCGCTGGTCCGACTTTCAGACCTGGGAACACCACAAACCACTTACCCGTAGTCAAAGATAAACCATGCGCCAACAACATTACCACAAAAACCACCACTACAGCTTCTACCATGTGCAACACCGGCACTCTCCAATGCTGTAGCAGTACTCAGAGTGTGAGTAGAACTAGTCGCCTTGTATGTGTACTCATTCCCTGCGTTCGAACTTTCAGTTAAGCGACTCGATGAGCTTATTGAGTGGTCTTCTTCCACTCGGCGCGGTTATCGAAGGCTTGGTCGGTATGGGATGCTCGCCCATACTTCCTATGGGCGTTGGTTCAGGCACTAGCTGTAACCAAGAACCTGTCTGTTGCAGCGGTGATACATTCGGCGTAGGTTCTGTAAAACATTGCCCAATCCAGTATCTAATTACATGTCCATAGGGTCCCTCTGGTATACTTAACCTCGGCTGTTCTCCTATCAACGCATTAAAACTATAGTGACTCCATTCACCATGACAAGCGAGAGAGTGAGTCGTAAACGAAGAGTGTAGGTTAGCGAAGAGGACGAAGGACACTTTCATTTTATTTTTTCTCTCTTCAAACTATGCGCATACAGGCGAGTACAACATTGTAATGCTTTCGAATTTCGATATGTTCCATAATCCAGATGATACAATTATTTTTTCATGTGACGGCCAGACTGCGCCTTCTGTAGTGCAGGGATTTTTTGGAGCACCATAACTTCAACAGTACCATACTATGATTTGCCGAGTCGAACCAGCCAGTATGATAATGAGAGCCGCATCGGCTGGCTAGCAAAGGGTGCGATTACTAGTATTGCGGGTCATATGCAACGACGATTGAAGCGTATGTAATTATATCATCGCCATCAGGTTGCACCGCTCTGATACTACTTGCCTGCCTATAGTTTACTGAGGCAAGCTGTATGACAGGACTTGCGCTCTTCGCTTGGATGAGTGGAGTTTGACGTGCTAAGACTGGCACAGTGCTGCAGCCGAGTCGAACATTATCCGTCCAACTGTTTTGACTGCATATACTAAATCCCCGCATTTTTTCAGCCATACTCACTAGTATTAATCGTTTTTCTGCGTGTGTTTCCATATTCACGATACACCATGGAAGTTGGGTAAAAAAAGCCAGTAAGTTTGAATTTTCCTCAAACGGCCGAGTCTTCACCGCCGGGTGACAGTTATCGTAGCATGGTCTCAGAACGCAAACCTTATGCCGTGCCTTCCATAGCTCAAATACGATCGCAATCATAATGGGCTCCTGTTCTTCTAGATGAGTATGAACCGAAGAAGAAAGGCGAGTCCTTATCTTTGTGTTTAATTGGTTCTTGTCATGGCTTTTGGCCGCTAGTGTTATGCAGCCTCAACCCGACAAGCCCCCTTCGACTAAAGGAACACGTCGATATCACCACCCAGGGAAGCCTGGGTAGGAGGTCAGAATTCTACGCGATGTGATTCAGAAGTCATGTTCACTTTTGTGTCTCAAGTTTAGTGGAGATCAGATAGGCGCCACATATGAAACCCTACTAGTTTCACTTTTTCAACTTCTCCAGTCGAGACCGTTCATCCTGAGGAATGCTTTCGCTAAGTCCTCCAAGTGGCGGCCGATGCATTGAAAATGTATAAAAGTCAGTACTTCAGGGAAAGAAAGCAACAGGGAATTTTACCATCCTTTTACAGCTTCACCAACCAACCTCTATCATGTTCGCTCGCATCTCTACTGTCTGCGTCTTCCTCTTTTTCGCGCTCTTCGCAGCTGCGACACCATCTCCCGTTTTTGCGCGCGGTTCAGGCAATTCTGGGCAATGCAATACCGGACCCATCCAATGCTGCAACAGCGTTGAGAATGTAAGTTTCATTAATGATATAACTTTCCGTGGAGTTTGTTTTCATACCGATCCTACAGTCCAACTCTGCAGGCCTCTCTGGCTTCTTGGGATCGCTTGGGATCCTTGGTCCTATTACTGGGCAAATCGGACTCAACTGCAACCCTATCACTGGCATCGGTGCCGGACTTGGCCCCCAGTGCACCTCGCAGCCCGTCTGCTGCACTGACGCCCATTTCGTTAGTATTTCATTTTATGCGACCTTACTCAGAATGCTCACGTTTTTATCGTCATCACAGAACGGTCTCATCAATGTGGGTTGCAGCCCGATCAACATTTTGTGAAGAAGGCATTATAGTTATCTTGGGGTAAAATGGTCTGGGTGTCGCAAAATGTGACCAACACGTGTTTGTGTTCATTTCTTACTCGTGTTTATCATGAAGTTTTTGGGTTAAGTAGTCCACGGATTTTGTGCTTTTCTGTAGTTGACTGTCAGGGAACTCCTAAGCTCACTTTCGACCCCCGCCTTTAAGTGATAGGACAATCAATCGATATCAATGTGTCCAACCCCTATGAGCTTCGTCTAACAATCCGACATAAGTATGTCAACGACGAATGTGAATGCGCCTGCACCATTTTCTCGTGAAATCATACTCTCCCTCACAAAGTTTAACAGTCGAATAATTGTTTGGCTTCAAGTTTGCTTATATTACCTCGATATGATGCTTTACATAGTTCGTTGGGCCTAGAAACGTCGAATCTATTCTCCAGATATTTACAGGGGAAATCACTCATGGATGGTGAGAGTGGAATGTGTTTGTTCGTTTTCGGAACGTGGCGGGTATCACTGCGACCATTTGGAGAGGGATTTTCGGGAAGAAGAGAAGACGCGATTGCCAAAACGAGGCAAAAAGATAGGGAACAGAGGATGAATAGAGAATTGGGTAAGACCACAACAACAAAAGAATATGAATATAGAAAAAAAGAAAAGAAAACTGAGAAAAAAGAGAAAAAGAGCTAGAGATATGGTAGATGATGGGAGCAAAGTTCGACAGATTAGATGGAGAAGAATGGTTGCTCGCTGTGCTGTGCCTGTTGTTGTTGCTGCGCAAAAGGGTTATGGCTTGGTGCGCCCGTCTTTTGTGCAACAAGCCGGCCAGCGTCGGTGTGCCCAAACCTGGAAGACAACCCTATCAGCATAAATGGTAGCGTTAAGAAGCAGATAATACACACCGCAGTTGTCCGGTATTTCCGAAAGTGTCCTGCCCATCCTCTCTGTTTGCAAAAAGATTTGCAAGGTTAGCATGTTCTTGATCTGCACGTGTTGGCTGCCTCTGCGAACCAGCTCCACCTGGCGATTGCCCTCCTGCTGGGGATGGCGACGATGCAAACCTCGAGGGAGATGCAGAAGACGCGTAAGATGGCGCAGACGAGTTGGCGTACGTGCCCTGCAGATTGAACGATGGTGCATCCGAGGAAACTTGAGAAGCAGGCATATGCGTGTTCGATGGTACGGGTGGTGGCGAGAAAGACGTAGGAGCAAAAGGGTTGTTTGAGCTGTGCATAAAGTTGGAGTACACCCGGTAAATTAACAAAAGAGACAATGGAAACGCACCCAAACCCAGTTGGCTGAGCAAATAATTGCTGTTGTTGCGATTGTTGCTGGAATTGATTGAGCTGCTGCTGACGATACCACTCTTCCTGCTGAGCTGCCATTTGTGCTTGAGCTTGTGCCTGAGCCTGAGCCTGTTGAGCCTGAGCCTGAGCCTGAGCCTGCGCCTGCAGCTCTTGCTGTTGCATCCATTCCTGTTGTTGACGAAGATATTCTGCCTACAGTATATATTCAGAAAGTATATAGTATGTGAAGAGTCACATCAACAAACCTGCATTGCCTCTTGCTGAGCTTGTTGTTGATATGGATTGAAAGAAGTAAATTGCGGCTGCATCTGGGTGAATTGAGGCTGCAACCCTGTCGCATACGGTGTTGGATCCACAAACGGGAAGGGATTGTTTCCGTTTCCATTTCCATTTCCATTTGATCTGCAAGATGAAACTCGGTTCAGCAAGATAGCAGAAGGGCGAACGATGACGCCTACTGATCGTCAAACAATGCAGAGGCATTCGAATCTTCAACTGCCTTATTCCTTTTAGCCTCTTCCTCTTCGCTGAGCCTGATCGCCTGCTGTAGATCTCGCTCTTCCGCAGTCATCTGACCGGCTTTTGCCTGCTCCTCTGCAAGCGTACGCTTGCTCTCTTCTATCGCACGGCGCAGCTCATCTTCATCTTTATTCTGATTCTGGCCTCGTCGTCCAGGGGGAGGTCCTGCAGGAGGCGCATAAGCTCCACGAGGAATGCTTTCATCATCATCTTCCGCACCGCCCTGACCACGGATCATACGGTCACGCATAGATGCGCGGGAGCGGCGCTCCTCGCGTAGACGAGCCTCATCTTGCAAGAGGTTCGTGATATCCTTAGCTTTCTGTCGGACATTTGCTCCTTGATCTTTTCCGTCTTCATCGATGTACTGGAATTCTTTGAGGGTTTTGATGATATAGACGTTGTCACGGAAGTATATGACAACATTTTCGGAGCCAGCATGGAGGCAATAGTCTAGAACTGTCAAGGACTACATAAACGATAGCGCAGTTGAGAAAGGGGAAGTCGATAATATGGTAGACAATGATGTGGCACCTTGAAGACATGACGCCAGTTCTTTCCCTTGTCGTTGAGTCTCTTATCAAGCATCTCCATGATCTCGACGAAATCATTCCTGAAAACGTAGAGCCATGAACACTATATGGTATACTCGGATTAGATATTTTGAACAGGAGCTCACTGGTTATATGTTAGTTGAGCAAGCTCATTCATCTGTGTCCCTGAAGGACCCCACGGATCGTTTGATGTTGCATCCCGGACTTTTGCCTGCGTGTCTGAATAGCCCTTTGTGTAGTTTTTGGCTACACGAAGGGCACCTTTGCCAAAGTGCTGTAGAGACATTGCCTGCAGCTAGTGTTAATGATGATAGTCGCGAATAGAGAACAAGCCTGACAGCTGTGTACGATGCGTTTACTCGGTCCGTGTCTTCGAGCTGCGGCTGATTAGATAACTCGACATATTCTCACAGTTGGCAAAAGTTGATGAGACGCCGATGGTGAAGCGGTTATCATGCTTGCCTTCCAAGCAAGCGGCAGGGGTTCGACTCCCCTTCGGCGTATAGTTTTTTTAAATATCTCGAACTATCTTATCCCACAGGTCACTGGAGCCACTGGAAAAGCCATACTATTCATCGATTAAAATTGATTATCAACACCTGTGATGTCCATTGTAATCGAATAGCAACCACGGGAGGTGCAATGATAGCAATCCCTACAGCAATGGTCACCTTGTAACGTAGGGACTACTAGTTGAAATGGAAATGTCTCCTGTCTATGACTAGAGCTACCCTGGTTTCCAAAAAATTCTTTGTATTTTACTCCACCAGAGGAAAGCCTATCACATATACAAAAGGCGTTACACAAAAATTTTACCTGTAAGTAAAATGCTACCCAGACAAGGTCGGATTTCTCTCAGCCTAATATCACAGATAATTTTCGAAGGAAGCATTCAATAATCAGTACTCGGGAGTGTATGGGCCCGCATGCAAGAATACGAACCCTTCAGTTACATTGAGATATGAACACCCTCGTCTGCTTGGGACAGGTGGAATGAATGGCATTTCCTAAAAAAAAATAAAACAATCAGATCCCGATGATACTGATAGTCAAGCAATCAAGTTCTGAGGAACATACCTAGGCCCACAAGAACATCAAAGACAACGTACCTTAAGAGCAGAGGAGATGGGTAAAAATAAATAAGTCATGTTATATCTTGTTTATATATTCTTGGAACCATGCATCACATTGCACGAATCTTAAAAATCTCTATTTTCAAATAAGCAATGTGATTGAGGATCCTTGCTACTGTAGTGATGTTCCAAAACGTATCCTTGAGAATTCTAATCCAAAAACAAGTGAACCGTGTGAGGAGTGGGACATGCACATAGCGGTAAAAGCACTGATAATTATAGCGCAGATATGTTCCAGCTACGCAACAGGGCAACAGGGTAGGGGGGTATTGAAAACAAAAATGGAATAACAAAAAGAGACCGAGTGTCCATAACGGCTGGCCAACCGATGCGGGAGGGTTTGGCGATAAATACGCAAGGCATAGATCGTGCAGGGTAACACCGACAAGGCAGTAATGAACAGAAGGAAACGACATCAAACGCAGATACCCTGGGAAGAAAAGAAAAGCATTTATGCTAAAACCCTCGTCACACCTCCCAGGAACGCCATCGTTGCTGCGAGCGCGCCCGCCTTGCTGAAGACTACCTGACTCACCGCACCACTGGAAGGCTTGGTGGTAGAATTGCCACTAGATCCCAGACTCGAGGTCGATCCAGAAGTTGATCCAGAAGTTGATCCAGATGAGTTCGATTGAGGTGTCCCGCCTGTGACAACAGTGGTACCGCTGACATCTGTGAGTCAATGTGGTCAATGATTGCATCGTAAAACAAAATGAATTTATACACACAAGCTTCAAAGGTAGGCAGCGAGTAGTTGGTCTCAACGTAAGGCTGGGTCTGGTTGTTGGCCACTCCCATAGGAACTAGGTACTTGAATGCTGATTTCAACTGATCATAGAACTTAACTGCCTCAGACATAGTGAAGTTGTTGAGCTCATGGGTCAGCATAATCGTGCCGGACTAGAATGCAGATCATGAAAGATGATGACACGAACAGTAAGTATTTGAAAATAGTGTGAAAAACATCAGGCAAATCAACTCACCGTGCTGAATGTCCCATTCTGAGCACGGGCGATCAAATTCATGTAGTTATCGTCAACATCTTGATCAGTAATGCCATCGATACCAGCCTTCCAGTCGTTGGAGTCATACTGCCAGATAATTGTCTTCAGTCCAAGAGCGTTCGCGATCCAGCGGATACGGTCATCAACGTCACCGAAGGGGGGCTATAGTAACATGTACAATAAGTAGGCGAATGGGATATCAAGATTGACAACATACCCTCCAGCAGGTGGGGGTAACTCCGACAACCAATTTGATCATTTGCATCTATTTGATCGATCAGTCCAATCATATTTGTAACTTATTCGCATGAAACACTGACAGCTATTTGAAAAAGTTCGTCAGTACGAATCAACCAAAAATCAGACATTCGGGATGACTAACTGTAATAGAGTTCCGCAAAGGCCTGCTCGTTTGTCAACGAAGTCACTATATGGTGAATAGTCAGCACTTTGTCTTTTTGTATGACCACCATAAAACGTACTGTAACGGTGAGACCATGTGTCTATGAGAGATTATAAATATCAACCACAATTTTAGTCATTGGACTAAGGGAAAACAAAGACAAAACTTGTGTACTTACGGACGCAAATTTCGTGACCTAAAACCAATACATTCGCTCAACATCACGTAGCACACGATATAGTCAATGGTGGACTCACCATCAGTCAGGGCACGCTGTGCCTCAAGAGGCCAGTTCATAACATTGCTACCGATGTAGAACATAGCTATCGTTGAAGTTTAAGATATTCATTCGCTGATGAGTCTGAAGCGGCTTTGACTTACTGGCTTTTTGATTGTTGTCTTGCAAATAATCATAAAATGCATTGTGGGAGCAGTTGGGGCCATCATCAAATCCGTAGCCAAGTGTGTCAGGCTAAGAATAGAAAATACTATAAGCCACTTGTCAGTAGTTCTGTCTGTCAGCGCGCACCTCAGATACACCCGCCATGTCAGGCTTAAGTCCAGCGACCTTTGGAGTCGTGCACTGATCATATGTCCACCAGCAGTCTGGGTCGGACGATGAGTACGACAGGCCTGAGAAGTTACCCTCTAGCGAAGCCGGTTGAGTACCCTTGGGTGCGATGTTGGGGATTTGACTCGAGATACTGTTATATTTGGCATTCGCAGCTGTGTCGTTTGAGAGAATGGAAGCTGGCTGCCAGTTCGTGGGGAAGTTGTATGCCGCTTCAGAGACGGGGGGATACCAATAGGCAACGCACTCTGCGGTGCCATCTAGTAAGGCACACGATGTCAGTATCTGAAGAAGAAGAAATACATCACAAAGGGGGGTTGGCGTATGGGGAGAAATGTAAGAACATAGTGCAGAAGAGTAAATTTGACCAAAATTCGAGCTAGGTACTGGAGACCTGGTGGCTGGACAGGTTTTGGAACAAAAGAACTTTTCTCTTGCCGATAAAGCATCATAATAGATGATGAGGTACTCTTGCGTCTAAAGTACAACGAGCAGAATCCAGAGGATACTTACTGGTGATTGCAGCCTCAGCAGTCTCTGTAGTGCGGTCTTGAGCACTGGCGGAGGAGACGAAAGATGCGACCAAGAAAGCGGAAGAGACAGAAGAGGTGGTAAAGAACGACGACAAACGCATTGTGATTAGCAGAAACCTAGAGCATACGCTTGTGTGGTGGGTGGTGGTAGGAGACAGACAGATGATGGAGCTTTAAAAACGAGGCGGTACAAATAATGGCGACGAGGGCGAGGTCTATATTTAGTGGTAACGGCTATTTTTTGCTGCTATTTTTTGCGGGACCAGGGATTGGTGTGGGTAATTGATGTGACAATGATGGGAGGCGTTAGCACGGAGCCGGCCCTTTTCTTTTACCGTAAAAAGCAATTTACGGCCATTGTTGGGACCTATACTAGTAACCCGGCCACGTTTTGCTGGCATTCCGCCCTGGTAATCGGTGCCATCTTCGTCCCTTGTAGTCTCCCTTGCCAACCCGTCTATGATAAGACATGGCTGGCTCGATGTATCTTTGCCTCCATGGGCTATATGCACATGGAAAATGGCAATGTGCTATTCAAGAAACACCAAGTATCATCGGCCTACGAAAGCGAAATCTATTTTCGAACCCAAAGTAGTCACATTACTCGGGAGCGCTTGCCTTAAGTTCTCCCCCTGCGCACCGCTCGGATGATTATCGAGTTCCAGTCCTAGCGCCATGGGGCCTTGTCAGACGAGGTCCCCATGCTCCGACAGGTTACGTGCGCATATCAACACGATACGGAACGTCCCAAACGAAGATTTTATCGCAACGTTTGACTAGTTGTTCGCCTGGCATTTCACAGCTCTCCTGCAAGAGTATATTTCTGGATCTTCAGTAGTTCAGTAATGCGCATCACGATCTATCCATGCGCTAAAGAACCCACCTTTTACTGCTGAGTTAGATAACACGCCAATCGATGCGAACCGTTGCCTTCCGAATACTCATCCCGTGGTCAGTATTTATAGCAAGTGATAAAAGGTGGTCAAGTGTATGAGTAGCGATCATTCTTATGTTAAGAGACTTCCTTCGTTGAAAGCCAGGAATATCGCAGCACGCAAGAGCACATAAATAATATCAACCATGAGTGGAGTACATCGTGTTGGTGGTGATCGTATTTATAGCTATAGGCGTGTGGCAATTCAAAGTTTACAGTAATCTGCATGTATGGAGTTGTAATCATATCTTTTGGTTATACGTTTGCCTTATCACTTTGTAATTATACCCATGTCTTCACTCTCAAAGGCCGAAAAATCATACATCCAGTCTTCCTTGCTTTCCAAACCTCCATTACGTGCAGACGGTCGCGCTTTATACGACTTCCGCGCAGTAGCACTCGAAACAGGTGTAGCACCGTTGGCTAATGGAAGTGCTCGCATTAACATTGGCAGAAACGCACACGATGGTGGGGGAGGCACAGAGATATTGGCTGCTGTGAAACTGGAAGTTGAGACAGTAGCGGATGGGGAAGGTGTCGATGGAGGAAGAGTAGTGGGCACGGTATCTTGGTGCGCCTACTTCGTCTTTCTTTGGTTTCAATTTTATGTGTATTTCTAATTGATCCCATGCAAAGGCAGCTCACCAGCCGCATACCCGCACCTCCCATCAGGAGCATTGGATGATCTGCAACATGACCTGACATCTGTGTTGCATGATACAGTGTCTCATCCATCACTGCGACCCAAAAACTTAGGTATCATACCTGGAAAAAAATCGTGGTTGCTGAACCTCGATGTAATCGTCTTATCTGATGATGGGAACGTGTGTGATGCACTATTCATGGCAGCAAGAGCAGCGTTGTGGGATACTAAAGTACCGAGAACAAGAAGTGTGGAATATCAAGCGAAGAAGGCTGGGAACAATGCAGAAGGAAATCGAGACATAGAAATGGATGAAGAGGGCAAAAGTGGATTCGATACTAGGATAACAAAAAAAGTGACCGATTTCGAACTTCCTGATTACTGGGACGAAGGGGAAATCTTGGATGGGCGGAATATATGGCCTATATGTGTGACGTTAAATCTGGTCGGTCTTTATGTTATGAAATTATTTTCCGACAAATTAGCTGACATATTTCCTGCAGTTGCCTCCAGTGTTCTTCCTCGATGCAGCACTGCAGGAAGAGTCTTCCATTCCATTACGCCTACATCTAATGTTCTCATTGCCACCTTCTGAGAAACCTCGCCTGCAAACATTCCGTTTGCTGGGTCCTAGTGGCGTTGACGTTCCCCTGATTAAAAGCCTAATAAAAGTAAGTGGATATCTATAAATCAAATTTGTGCTCGGCTATAGGGACTGTGCTGACTACTTTGTGCAGGAAGGTGAAGTGCATGCCCGTAGCATCTGGACTGCTTTGGATGCAAAACTCAAGGATGAGGATATAAGACGGAACCAGAAGGCCAGAGATAGGTTCCTCCACCGATAGCGGCATGTACACTATCACAAAACAAAATGATACTCATCACTGGCTATTTTGAATCATGAGATGGAGATCAATGGCTTCTCATCGTCAAAGACGAATCCCTTTCGAGGTCTGCATCACTAATTTCTGCTTTCTAGGAAAGTTTGAATTATCCTTCAAATATAAAAGGATACAATCGACTCATGGACAAAGAATGTATGATATTCACGTCCAGCTTACTGTCACTCATAATCAGCCCTTATTTCTTCAATATTTTTCGGGGAATCGTCGGTGTTACGAACTACTCTGATCAGCGGTCCGACCTATGATGTACAGGTGACCAGGTGAGGTATTTTCTGAGTTTCATGATATAAATATCAGTCTGTTCAGGATGAATGAGCGTACTGAATCAATCATGTCGTTTCTCAAGGTCTCTGGAACGAAAATTGTGAATGGTGACGGTAATGAAATCACTTTGCATGGTGCTGGTCTTGGTGGTTGGATGACGTGAGTTTGCTCATGCGGCATACATCACTTGGCTGACTTGCTGTTTACATGGGTTCTCAGGATGGAGAACTTTATCTCTGGTGGGCTTTGCTATATTGGTATGTTACTGTTATTCGCTAACGAAGGTTGTTCTAGGATACCCTGGTTGCGAATTTCAGATTCGAGAAGCTTTAGCTGAGGCTATCGGAGGGCGCAAAGCTGAATTCTTCTTTGACAAAGTGCGTGGCGACCTCGCTCCTTTCTTGCACTCGCAAACGCATGACTATCATGCTAGTTCCTGGAATATTTCTTTGCAGAGCCAGATGCAGCATTCTTCAAGTCGCTGGGTCTGAACTGTATCCGCATCGCTATCAACTACAGACATTTTGAGGACAACTTGAATCCCCGAACAATGAAGCCAGATTGCTTTCGCCATCTCGATCGTGTCATCGAGGCGTGCTCCAAGCATTCCATTTACACCATCATTGACATGCATACAGCGCCAGGTGGTCAGAATGGCGGCTGGCACTCTGATGCTGGAACTCATATCGCAGGTTGGTGCGCTCGCACTTTGCACGTCTCTACAGCCTTAAATACAGAAATTTTGCAAATCAGGTTTTTGGATCCACAAAGACTTCCAGGATAGGCTCGTTTGGCTCTGGACGGAGGTCGCTCGTCACTATGCTAATAATCCATGGGTAGCAGGATATAATCCTATGAACGAACCTGCTGATCCGAAAGGAACAGGACTGGTGCATTTCTACGACAGAGTACATGCTGCTATCCGCTCTGTCGACCCTAATCACACGCTGTTCCTAGATGGAAACACCTACGCAATTGATTTTTCTGCTTTCCCGGACGATGCCAAAGAGCGATGGGACAATACCGCATATGCTATCCACGACTATGCCATTTATGGGTTCCCGAAAACTCCAGAGCCGTATGCAAGGACACCTGAACAACTGAAGAAGATGAGAGACACCTATAAACGCAAAAGAGCTTGGATGGATGAGAAAGGCTTGTGTGTATGGAATGGAGAGTGGGGTCCTGTTTATGCCCGCAGGGAATACGATGGCGATGCGACTGACGAAATCAACGAAAGGCGGTATAACGTGCTGAAAGATCAATTGGATATATACCACGAAGTGTGTATATCTAAAATTTCTGGGTTATATATCTGGTTCAAATAATCATTGTTGCAGGACCAGCTCAGTTGGTCTATATGGCTCTACAAGGATATCGGTTACCAAGGAATGGTGTATGTTTCACGGGAAACACCTTACATGAAGCTTTTCGAATCTTTCCTTGCACGGAAATTTCGCCTTGCTGTAGACGCTTGGGGTACGAACGATAAATATGTCAAGCAGATATATCAACCGATTACCGATCTCATCAAAGATAACGTCCCAGAATCCAACAGGCACCTTTACCCCCCAATCTGGAGCTTGGAAGATCGAGTTGCCAGACTTTCAAGGACTATGTTGGTGGCAGAATACATGGTAAAGGAGTGGGCAGACACGCTCATAGGGTTGGACGAGCGGCAGCTGGATGAGGTTGCGGCTAGCTTCAAGTTCGAGAACTGCCTGAAGCGGGATGGGCTCAACAAAGTTCTGACGGACCATGCAGCATCATATAAGAAATAGCAATGTACTACTGTCCTTGACATCAAGGAAATTTGAGAAACATATGCTGTATTGCGAAGAATCCAGTATTTTGTATGGAGTAAATACGAAAAAAGACTAAGCCTGTCGACACTCAATAGCGGCCGCCGCGACTTCGTTGGTCAACAGGGGCGCCATCTCGAAACATAATGGATTGATTTTAGATGTTATCCTCTGGTTCATTTTCAATCATCTTCGCGTAGTCCTCATAACTTGCGAACGTTGGCAAGGCCCGTAGTTTCTTGCGCTCGCTAGACGCGGTTTCTTCTCGCTTTCTCTTCTGGCCACCACTGAAGCCGCCCCACTCCGCCTCTTCAGCATCTGAATCATCAGCGTCAGAGCCATCATATTCGATCAGGCCTTCTGCGACTTCGTTATCCAGATCTATTAGGTCCTCATTGTCGGACTCTTCGGCCAGAGAAAATGCATCGCCGCCCTTCGTGTTGATGTTCTCTTGACTGTCATTATCCGCGTCATCCCCGCTCATATCATCCAGGTCAGATGGTACGCTGTCACTATCCTCCATAAGGTCATCATCACCATCACCTGCCACTGCTGGCATTGTCGCTTTCATTGCCTTTCCAGAGTATCATTTGTTGGTAACAGCACACGCAAATTGGGACAACGTACCTTCCAAATTTCTGCCTCTTCCGCATCACTACCCTCCTCCTCCTCCTCTTTCACTTCTTCGCTCTCTTCAGCAGCAGCACTATCGTCATTGTCTTCGGCTCCCAAGTCTAAACCTGCATCAGAGCTTTCTTCCTCGTCGTCCAAGGTCTTTTTTGGCTTTGCTTTCTGTTTCTCGTTCTTCCTTGAAAAATATTTGTGGAAGAATACCTACCAAATTTTCAATCATGCGACACTTTAACCCGAAAAAAAAATGTACCTCGTCTACAGGAATGTTCTCCACTTTTCTCCTCCAGAATTTTTCATCATTCACCAGAATGCCACTATCAACCTCGCCCTTGGTTAATTTCACACCAATCCCATCAGCAGCACTAGCAGCAGGCTGCATAGCACTAGCACCTTTTGGCTTGGGTTTCTTAGGGTTTTTGTAGACGAAACGGTCCAAGAAATGAGAAAGTGTGTTTAACGATAAATCCGCGCTGGAGGTGATGGGCCGAGCATCCAGAAGTTGCTGGGCGTGCAGAGACACGGTGGGATGATAATGATTGAGGAGAGGTATCTGAAATAAGAACATGAGTCAACAATTTATCTTTCGTATTCCTCATTTGACCAGCAACGTACCAACTCGAACAGAGGGGAAGATGATGGATGGGCAAATCGAGGATCGCGCTTTTTCGGGTCATATTCCTCATCGTTATCCTTGCTCGTGGATTGTTTGAGCATATCGCGCATGCCCCGAACCGTACTGAATAGCTACATAAACGTAAATAAATCGCAGCGGATTCACTTGCTGGAGAACCTACCTCTCCGAGTAAGTATAGCCCACCAACAATAAACTCTGTGCTGCCTCCGCCACCACTAACAAGTATCTGTATAAATCTCCTTACAAAACTCTTCACCCTTTCTACGTCATCATCGGCTTTGAGAGATTTGAATAACAGATTCAAATACATAGCTTGCTTCGACGAGGCCGCCAGGCGCACATCATGAAGGGAAGCGTAGAGTGTACGGTAATAGCGGTCTGTGATAGTTCGTGAATGTGACGTGGACGTTGAAGGAGTTTGTGGGCGATTGGATGAGAGCGTAAAAGATATCTGTTGGATAAGGACGAGGGCTTGCAAAGATATGTTGAAGGTTGAGGTGTGCGTAATTAGGAAAAGAGTGTCGATATGTTTATTCAAGCTGACGAGAATATTGTTTTCAGCGTCAGAGCTATTAGTTGACAAATCATGACCCACCTAACGTCGGTAGCGCTTAGTTTTGCGTAAGGCAATGCGCGATTGACTCCAGCCAATATGGCAGAAATCAATTTTGAGTGGGCATCTTCCACTTCTGTGAAGCCACCTGCCCCGACCTCGACTGCAGCATTTTTCGGCTTCACTTTACCTTTACCCTTGGAATCTCTCTCTTTTTTGCCCTTCTTCTTTTCCTTGCCTTCGTCACCAGCAACAGTCGCTACTGGCTCTGGTTCGTCGAGACCGCTTCCTTCGCCAAGCAAGTCCTTGAACATCTGAAAGTAGACGTCAATAATTTGGAGAGCTACCTCTCTGTCGCCAGGGCCAAACACGATCTGATTGAACGTGATAGTCGCATAGTATCTAGCATGATCGTTTCCGGTCTTTTTTGGTTGAGGCGCTGGCTGAGATTTGGATTTAGATTTAGGAGCTTCATCAGTAAAGCGGATATGAGTATTAGAAGATGGCGCAGTCACGGAAGGTGCAGAAGAAGGTGGGCGGAGGATCAATGAAGTCATTTCTCGCACAATGATAGCTTTCATGAATGGGTGTAGTTGAAGAAGTTGAAGAAGGTGGTATGAGACGCGTGAGCAGACGGATTTTTCAGTGTCGCCCTATTACAAGTTGATGGTGAATATAGGTAACTAACATCTAAAAAGGACAGGACACATACCAACTTGTTAACCAGGAGGCGTAAAAGATTGTGCTCTTGCTCGGGCTTTTCAAGAAGAAGATTGTGTATGAGAGACAGAGCTTGCATCCTCACATATGATAATGGGTCCAAAGATAAGGTCTAATGATAAAGGCGTCAGCTTACTCTGCGGACTAATCGAATAGAGACGAACCTCGAGGATCTGCAGGATAGAAAAGAAGAACTTCTTCAACCAATCCTCAAAATACCAAAGCAACAGATGTTGATCGGTCACTGAAGGATGTAGCAGAGGTTGATCACGGAAATATCTACGCGTATATTTAGTCTCGACTTGCGTCTGACATTGGTCGCGAAACTTACTTGAGCTTCCTACTTGGCCCACCACCACCAACCCACCAATCCACTATGCATCTTAAGGCCTTCAAGCTCTCCTCTCTTCCACCCTTTCCCTTTCCTCTTTCTGCCATCCCTTTGAGGGTTTCCAGGGCCTTGATATTATATACTGGGCTGCTTTGCACAAGCAGGGTCAATGCGCTAAGCCTATCGGACAGAGTGCCAGACTGCAAGATCTTCTGCAGAAAAGAGTACTCTGACTTTGAAGATGTCAATGTGGAAGAGGAATGAGACTGATATGTAGAGGTCGCGGATGAATGAAGTGAGGATGCACGATCCATAAGGGAGGCAAGCTGCGTCGAGCTAACGGTGGGCAACGGGGCAGAAGAAGCAGACAACGGAGGTACTGATTCATACCACTGCGATGACAGTTCGACCACCATTGGAGGAGATTTGGTAGATCTGGGAGGCATACTGTCCTCCACAGAAGATTGAGGTCGATTCAGACTCTTGAAAAAATGTATTATATAATCATCCCATACACCGACATTTTTGTTGAGCAAAACACGAGTGGCGCAAGATTTGGCGACAGCACGTCCAAACCCAATGAATATCAGTGACCATGGAATCACTGCAGATCTTTGTACATTCAAATACATCTACAAGAGAAATATGGAGGTAAATAACGACTCTGACATTCAGGAAAGCATTGATAGTGGGAGTCTTGATAATAGTGCATGTTCAAATAAATTAAATGTGGTATTTGTGCTATATACTCTGTCATGTAAGATGCAGAGGATATTGATGGGAACTATGAGATTTATGAATACAACAAAAATAACCTAAAAGATTTCAATACAGTCAAACTTGTCATATCCCATAGCGGTCAGGACAGCTCAAAATCTATGGGTTGTCACAAGTTATGGGATGGCAGAGATGTATGAAAAAAATGGTCATAATGGCATAAATTGAATTATAGCGACTGAATACACTGAAGATTAGTAAATAGGTATGAGGAAAATAATGAGTAAGAAGGCTTAGAACCATTGCTTCAAACTCATCCAAGTGCAACTGATGGCAGAATGAAGCCAGAAACCCCTCCAGCTTTCATGCCAATGGGCCATCTTGCTCTGTCATGTATTCTGTAAGGAGCAGTGCGGCTTTAAGAGCTTCCCTACATGTTGGACATACACTCACTGCACCTGTAAGGACCATTTACATTTTCTTATCTTTTTGTTCCATGTCTTGGTTCTCAAACACTTTCCCCATCATGTGAGGAATCAATTTTTCTTATCGCATTCCCGTCATGTCGTGGTTAGCAGACTCGATCCCCGTCACTCCTCTTGCCCTTGGACTAGAGATTACAGCAGGTGTCTTATTACTTTTATCCTTTTTCTTCTTATTCTCTATTCACACTCACGTCCTATCGTACCTACGACGAGGTAGACTTGTTGTCGACCCTCGAGAAGATATCCAGATGACATAGCCATGATCCAGTGCTATGTCTGGGAATACTTCGGAGGAATATTGATAAGTGAAGAAGGTTGTGAGTCAGCGCCTTCTCATGGGCTTACTGATACAGCCAATCACACATCCCTTACCAATACATTTTCTCATACAATTAGTAAATATGATAGATCGGACCACCTTCTCCTTTTTTCTTATTGGTTAGCTAGCTGGTCAGACCACTTTCTCAGTTCTTCCCTTTCTCGGTCTGACCATTGCCGTTCACTATATAAAGAGGTACATACTCGATGTATTGTTCTCTAGTTCAATATTAGTTTGGATTTGCGCTCATACCGATACTCTTCATTCTCATACCCTGATTCACCGCCTTCCAGCAAGGACTTGACCAGGCATTGTGCTTTGTTATATAGCTTCGTATTTGTTGCCTGACACATCACACCTCTGGCTCTAGGGCTAGAGGTATCCTTTGCTACATCAGGAAAAATGGGGGTAGCTATATAGAGCAAATACAGAGCTATACTTGCTTATAGGTGCTTATAAAGTTGTCATAATTGTCAGACCTGTTATAAAACCTCTGGCATTTGTAGAGCCACATATAGGCTCTTATTGTTAGGCAACAAATATGAAGCTATATAACAAAACACAATGCCTGGTCAAGTCCTTGCTGAAAGGCAGTGAAGCAGGGTATGAGAGTTGAAGAGTATTGATATAGGTGCAAATCCAAACCAATATTGAACTAAAGAATAATACATCGAGTATGTACTTCTTTATATAGTGAACAACAAGGGTCAGACTGTAACAACCAAGAGTGACTTACTCTGGCGCACACAGATTTACACTATAAAGAAGATGATGGGAGTGGTTACCCCTTAGACTGCAGTGAGTTTGTTGGTTAACAACAGGAGGACTCGCTGAGGAGTCTCCTGGATCTATTGGGGTATATATACTACTACAGGGTTGTTTGTACATGTGTACTATACAGTTGATAGAGACAGTGGCTGATGATGTCATGGGGCCTAGCCCGCATGGCCAGCTCCACTGTGCAAGAGAGTTGTGTCTAAAATAAGAAGAAAGGCAATGTGGCGCGAGAAAGAGGAGTTTGGACAAAAGGGGAAGTGACGCGTGGCACCATGTGTGAAAGCTAAAGTACAAGGTTAAAGCGGAGAATGAAAATAAAGGAAAGGTCCGAAAATTGTGTTATCGTAACACAGACCGAGAAAGGGAAGAGTCTGACCAATTGACTAACCAATAGGAAAAGAAAGAGAAAGTGGTCCAATCTATTGTATTTACTAATCATATGAGAGAAAGTATTGGTAAGAGATGTGCAATTGGTTGTATCAGTAAGCCCATGAGAAGGCGCTGACTCACAGCCTTCCTCGCTTATCAATATCCCTCTGAAGTATTCCCAGACATAGCACTGGATCATTGCTATGTCATTTGGATATCTTCTTGAGGGTCTACAACAGTTCTCCTTTGTTGTAAGTACAATAGGACGTGAGTATGAATGGAGAATAAGAAGAAAAAGGATAAAAGTAATAAGATACCGGCTGTAATCTCTAGTCCAAGAGCAAGAGGAGTGACAGGGAATGAATTGGATAACCACAACATGATGGGAATGCAATAAGAAAAATTGATTCCTTACACTTATAGATGACCAAAAGCTATTATAGCTGTTATAGATGCTGGGGATCTTTTTTTACTTTTATAGTCAAGCCAACTAATTATAGCTTTTGCCTAGGTTTTATAGTCTTTATAGAAAAAATAGCTGTAATACAAGTTTTATAGCTTTCACCTTGTTTCATATGTACCTATAGATTAGATCAATTATTTGGACATTTATTGCGATTATAACTTCAAGGGTAATGCAAGAAATGCGTAATATCAAAAGTAATATCTGTTATGATAACACAATTTTTGGACCTTTCCTTTAATTTTCATTCTCCACTTTAACCTTTTACTGTAGTTCACACTCTGTGCCATGCGGCACTTTCCTTTGTTCAAACTCCGCTTTTCTCGCGCTACACTGCTTTTCTTTATTTATAGCTACAAATTACTCATGCAGTGGAGCTGGTCACACGGGCTGCACCCTCTGACATCATCAGCCACTGCCTCCATCAACTGTACAGTATACATGTACAAATAGCTTGTAGTAGTATAAATACCCCAATAGATCAAGGAGACTCCTCAGCAAGTCCTCCTGTTGTATACCAACAATCAACTTAGTCCTACCTAAGGGGTAACCACTCCCTCATCACTACCTTTATAGTTTGTCTTAGTGTGCACCAGAGTAACTAACTCTTGGTTGTTACAATATCAAAAATGCACAATATCATTAAAAGAATCAAACAATCTAGACTATGAATAGACTTTACTACTAACAGAGTACTTATACTACCATAGTTTCCTCTAAAGCATCAAAGTCAATCCCATAATTTTTGTCTTGAGGTTTTTGATTAAGATATTGAAGATTGGCTGATTGTCTGTATATATATTTCACATTAGCTAAGTGATAGGCAGTAGATATATACCACCTACAAAATGCTTTTGTAAAGATTATTCCTCATTTGAGTCATCCAACCAGGGCAACACTTCTGGAGTGCAGGGAGCTTCTCAAAGTAGAATCCCCATCTACTAATAAGATTAGACAGAACTATTATAAATGTGATTAGAACTCACCTAGCTTTGAACATATTCTCTGAAAAATCTTGTACGCTCTTACCACCACTATTATAGGCTCTAAGAGCACACTCAACCTAGTGGATAAGTAAGTAAATATTCAAGAGTACGAAGAAAAAGTCTGAAAAAGTCATACTGCAGAGGCAACCAGTGCAAGTAGAGACAAAGGAATACCTTTGAAAATATGTGCATACCTAATTCCTTCACCTTTTCTTCCAAACCATTGGTTTCTTATGAGATCATTGAAAATAGGGTTTGAGAATGGTTTTTGCTTGTTATAGGTTCTTCCCTGATACCCATAAGTTGTAATACAATGAAGAAAAAAATAGTTCTCACTTTGATATCAAGGTCCCCATCAGACCATACTTAAAAATTCAAGCAAGAGTTAAAACCAAATCATGGCAATGAAAGAATACACTCACATAATCCATCATGAAGATTTTCAACACTTCATTGTCTTCAACCTCCCTTAATTTGGATTCAAAGCTGTTGCTAATCTTGGAGCTTTCAGTGATTATTTGCCATGAGATATCAGAGCGTATATTAGAAGCCGGGAATCCTTCATTTGTTGAGATATGAAGACGTATTTGAGTATGGGCTTCTATAGTTAGCTGTGCCAAAGAAGGAGGGAAAAGAGCTAGTGTAGGTTTGCGCTTCCTAGTCATAGCAGAAGATGGAGATACACTAGCTATTGCTGTGCTTGATATGCGACTGAAAGGTTGAATAGAAAGAGCTGCAGATGGCAAACAAGATGGTGTGCTAGTGCTTTCACCAATATTACCAGCTTGGTGTGCGTCCTATATACATATGTGAAGATGTTGACTTTTATTGAGAGTAGATAGATATACTCACTTTTCTGCCTTGCATCTGGGAATGATTGCCATCCTCCTCCTCTATACTCGTTATATAAAAGACAACTTTGATATACAAGATAAAGGAATCATACTTTCTTGTTCACTATCCCCTCTAACAGTGTTCCTAGACTCTTCTGTATCTGTATCGTCATCCCCACCCCCGTCTTCATCTTCATTATCTATAGGCCTCCAGGATCTAGGTTGAGTTGAAGGTGGAGTCTGGACCATGTTACTATTATTCTCTTTATCCTGGTCATCTACTACCTCCCTCCTACGCCTACGCTTCTGGGAGGGTGGCAGTGGGGCATCCTCCCCCTCATCCTCTTCCTCAAGAGTATCAGCAGCACGTTTCAGGATTTCTAAATAGCATCAGTAGAATATATAATATTTTATGGGAGATTTAAAAAAACAAATACCTTGACACTGTCTCTCCAGAAATGTCTTTTGAGCTGCTTTGCTGGCAGCCCTAGTTTGAGCTTTCCCAACTTCCTTAAGCCTCTCATACTCCCCAGCATCTATTGTAATCTTACCCTTCTGAGATTTGGTTTTACTGGAAGCAGATTTTTTAGCCATGAGTAGTATAAGGAGGATGATGAACCTGCAATACATAGGGAGGACTAAATCACCACACATCAAATTTTGGCGTGGGAGCATCTGAAAGTATACTAACTTCACAAAGAAAAAATGTGCAAAAAGCTAAGCTATTCAAACTATATTCATCCATTTCTATTGTTTGCCCATGAAGAGAACTCTTTGTCAGTATGGAAAACAAAAAATGCTCTCTTGCCTTGGTATTGCAGATTGAAGTGTGTAATATCACAAGATCTGAAGATGGCAAAGTCACCTTTCCTTAATTCCAAGACCAGACCTGTTTCAACCATGACAAGGGCTCCACCTTGGAAATTACCAATAGGAAGGACAAGACAGAAGTCCTTGTCTTTGCTATCTCAATGACCTTTGGTAGAGACATTGAGGTTAATCACCAGTGAAAGGAAGGGGAATATTGGAGACAAATTGTTGCCAGGCAAAATTGATGCAACTTCAGCCAATAACTTATACTCCTCAGGCAGCTGAAGCTCAATCTTGTGGATAGAGTGATTATTAGATTAGATACCACAATAATGTACTATATTTAAGCTTACCACATCATGGATCCAATGGAATAGGTCTGCAAAGACAACTTTGATAGTCCGGTAAATAGTGCTGTGATCTTTGATTTCCTTGGACAGGTAAGGGATCATCTGGGAATAGTTGGTACGACGTCCATCTTCCCTCTCTAACATGAGAGGCGAAATCTCAGTTGGAGCGTCATCTCCCTGGTTTTCAAGGAAGTTAGTGGGCAGCTGGAAAGGAATAACATGGCTGTATCAGTACTTACTATTGTGCAGTGACGGTTGTACCAGGAAAAGTGTAGCGCCTCAAACATGTCATCCTCATCATGTTGGCCAGGCTTCTGGGTGGGCGGCTCGTTGTTCTCAAATGCAGCCAGGAGCTTTGGCTGTAGTGATGAGCGGATACAGTCAGGGAGGGATGTGCAAACAAAGACCATGAGGGAGCCATCTGAGTTGCGGATATTGAGTGATTGGCTGATATCAAGAAGTTTGATAAGGCACTGAACACTTGAGTGTACAATGAACTTACCCCAAAATGACGCTTGCTGGGATCCTCAGGTATGTCCCACATGTAGCCTTTACACCGCCTTGATACAGAGACTGAAGCTAGCAATAACTCAGGTAAATGATCGGATAAGGCTCCCAATGTGTAGCCACATACCTGTGTTCGCAAGTCATTAGTGTCTGTTGCTACATGGCCCCTTACTGCTCGTTCCCTTTCCTTCTCAGTCCACAGGACATTGGCATTGTGATCATGTTCTGCCTGAAAGACTTTGTTTGCAGCCAAAGAATGATTATACGATGTAGGGATGGTGGTGGTGTTTTCCTCGCTGAGAAAGCGAGATGGATAGGAGTTGGGAAGAGGACAGTCCTCTTCCTCATTGATGTCAGTTAATGGGGGACTGTACGGCCTACTCAGAAATGAGTGTTCCAATGGTGCAAGCATGTTGTAACCCAGTTGGTGCAGAGGGATAGCTGGATTACCAGCGCAAATAGTGAAAGTGTAGCAAGACTGCCAGGCGACACAGTCACGCTTAAGTAAGACAAAATTACTAGGTATATTTTCATTAGCAAGGATATCCTATTAAACTTCAATAAAGCTAAAAACTATAGCACGCACTTGAAGATAACAGAATCAAAAAAATGGTCTGAAGAGCTGATATTTGTGCAATCAAATTCATTGGCTAGCTGATGCTCCGCAAGTATAGCCGGGGAGAACATTGATGCCATGCTAATAAGCAAAGAGAGGCGCATGCGACTGATAGTAGGAATGATGTGGTCGATAATTAAATTTCCCTTGACAGTTTCTTTTTAAAGCTTGTAAGAGGTATACAAGAGGCGATTATCTTCAATTCTTACCTTTCTTTGGCATTCTTAGCAAATTTGCAAGGTCCCATGGTGAAGTGCCCTCCATGGCAGCAACTGAAACATGAAGACCCAGACTAGCAATAAGTACTAATAAATATATGGAGCCTCCACCAGCAAGGGCTGCAAACTTGCTTCCAGTGGAATGCCAGTCTTGGAACATCCTTTTGCTGGGTTTGTTGGACAGATGCGCAATTTCTTGATTGTATATTCCATTGAGAGAGAGATCTGTTCGTATTTTGATACTACAATTTGAGATATGAGCAAAGAATGTTGAATATGAGAGAAAGACAAGTGTACTTACCTTTGACATTTTGTGACAAGCTGCATAAGGTTGACCATCAGAAGAAAGTTGACGGCTATGTCCTTGCCACTAAGTCCCTTGCAACGAGCAACAACTGACATGAGTGATTTGTCAAGATATGCTCCCTCCTGGATTGCAGACTTGACGTTCAGGAGCCAAGCTTCTGGGTTGTGCGTGTCAGAGCCCCCACGAGCGGATGAAAGAGTGGCAATGATGGCATTGACGTTCTTGCTTATGTTAATCCAGGGACTACTTTGTTGTCGCCATATACCTTCGCCACCCTGACGCTGCAGTGCAAAAGTAATACCACCCCTAGGACAAGGGCGATGGGGCTCAGAAGCTGATGCCAGGTCTTGAGGTCATTGAGTTCATCATCTTGTTGCTCTGGATTTCCCTCAATTGCTTTGTTTGGAAGCCATAATGGTTTTTTTTGGAATGCTGGTATTGGGTAGGTTGATTGATTCAGAACCAGAATCTTGAAGTGTATCAGTGCCAGTAGAAAGATGAGACTCGCTGTTGATGATGAGAACTGTTGTTAGAAAACCACACACAAAACAAACTAACACACAATCCTCCCAGATTCCACGGAACTTGTTCATGGGCTTTGCCTCCTAGAATAGTGGAGTGGTCTGGTTGTTCGTGGGGTGGTACGTATAAAGATCCTTCAAAGTAAAACCCAGAGGTGTATGAGTGTGGGTTTTGAGGAGGAGGGATAGTTGAATTTATAGGAAGATAGGTGCTTTGTGGCGAGTATAGACAAGCACTACCTTGCTAATGGTAGCACAAGGTAGGTTTGAGAACGACGAGGATGACGAGGTGACGAGGTTCCCAGTGATAGCAGGCTCCTGACGCACAAACTGTAGTGCTCAGAAGGACTCTAATCGAAGGGGATGACAATCACTTTCAAAAAGTGACGAGTGACGATGACAGCAGTTAACAGTGGTAGCAGTGGGAAGTGTTGTGACCACACTGGATCACAAGTAGCAGAGTAGTGAACTTGAGAGTAGAGAAGAAGTCTGGAATGGAGTTCTTTTTTTTTTTTTACAAGGTAAAATACAGGGGTTTATATAGTAAAAGAAAAGTAGGCTATGCACAGTATAGCTGTGCAAAAAGAATGAGAAAGAACATGAAGGAAGGAATGTATGCTGACAAATCCTGCGTAGGTAGTACAGGATAAGATTGTCAAAAAAAGGAAAAGAAAGAGATAGAACAATGAATGCTGTGAGTAATGTCACAGGTTTGTACAGCCATAAAGTAAAGTCCAATAGCAAAAAGAGAGCAGGAAAATCATGATGTCATGGGAAGATGCAGTAAAAAAAGGCAAGGCAAAACACTATCAGTATCAACACAGTTCCTTTATTGTCAGTCAGGCATTCTAAAAAAATATGTGTCCATAAAAATGATTCAAAAATCAAAAATAATCGCACTGTAAATGAATGTTCTGCTGAAGAAAAAGAAACTGGAGCCACCGGTCCACCACCTAGTCCAAATCCGACAGTTCCATGGCCTTACCAATGGACTGGTTGTGTTGGACCACCTGATTAAACGAGGGAGGGAGAGGAGTAGTTCCAATTTGGAACAAGCCAGGCAGTGTGTGGTAGGTGTAGCTGTAGCGAAGACAATGGACAAAAGATAAGTGTACCCAAGTGAATGGGACAGCGATGAACATGGGCAACGCAAGGGGATGAACCTTCTCCAGCTCAAAAATTACCCACCCACGCTCCAACCAGGCAAGACGAGTGACCAATGTTTTGATAGTATATGATGGTAGATCGATGTCATAAAGATGGACCTGTTGCCCTATTTGAACCGGCTGCCAGGGCTTTGCTGATATCAGCAGTGGCACGTGGTAGTCAATGGATCGGCGACGGAAGCGGATAGGAAGTGGTGACATCAGAAATGGTGGGGGTGCAAATAAAATGAGGAGGAGGAGGGTGGAGGTGATGGAAAAGTGGATTAGAATGGGGATCCAGAAACGACCGTCAGGTGAGAATAAAAAGGAGAGGAAGGGGCCCATGGTGGGGCTAGGCAAAGGAAGGGGAGTAAGGGAAACGACAAAAGCGAGGGCGCAATGCAATGTGTAGCCAGTGGCAACGCGAAAATTTGCCGAAATGCCGAAACACGGAAAGTACCGGATGGAAAAGCAAAGGTGAGCGTGACTGGATTGCCTAATAGAGGTGGTGCTGATCAGCCACAAGTTCGAAAAGGGCAATATTAATTACTATTCCACGTGGCACTGTGCCTGTGTGGCGCAAAGGCGAGTCTTTTGAATATTCGCTTCATTATTGACACCTGTCCATGCTACCAATCAACTTTGGTGCATGACATCGCCCAACCAGGGAAGCATGTTTGGTAGTGCTGATTGCTCTTTAGATAGGTTATTAGATTAGTTGTAGTATTGGATGGTGCCGTTGGCTCTCCAAAGAGGAACTGGGAAGAAAAATGTAAACATACCTAGTGAGGGTTCACCTAACAATAACTCGGATTCAGATAGAACTGACAAATATATAGTTTCAGCTGAGGATAGCCAGATTAGAAATCAAACTTGAAAGCTCACCTGGCAATGCAGACAAAATTGATGGGTACAATAGAAATGTTGATAAGTTGCTCTGAAAGTCAACCAGGCCTTCAGGTAAGTCTTGGATACCGTTGAGTATTTCCACCAGATACATGAGGTCATTCCTATGCATGCTCGGTGCACGTGCCGGCGGCTCACATTCCGATACGGATAGCATTTTTTGGGATAACCAAAAAAGGCAGTTGAGCAGGTGTTTGAGCACCTGCCATTCTTGGTCTGACCATAAATAGAAGGTATGCGAGTGTCCGAGCAACATCCTCTTTAGGAAGTTGTGCAAGCGTCCACTTTAGGAAGGTGTGCAAACGTCCGAGCAGCATCCACTTTAGGAAGGTGTCCGAGTGTCCGAGCAACTAGTCTCGAATCCAGACGGGTGGGAACAGAGGTCCCAGACCATCTGGAGACATTTGTTTCAGGACAAGTGCATCGAGTCACAATGTCACACTTATAGCTGTTTTTGGGTAGAGAGCTTGTCCAAAAGCAGAAATAGATAACATTTTGTCATCATGATTAGTTGTACAGTGTAAATAGAGTTTCTTGGGTGTAATGCAATAAGTCGAGTATTTTCTACGCATGACAAGATACGGTCCTCAAGCTCGTCAAAAGTCACACGCAGAAGACAAAGAACAGTCTTACAAACTTCTAAGTCAGCACTGAGACAAAGCAAACCATTATTGCTCCGAGGATTTTCAACAAAAACTTATAACAAGTGTTCATGAACGATGCAGAGGCCGGACTGGATCCTCCTCAGCTCGTCCTCAAGCACCTCTCCAATGCAACCAAATGAAAACTCCTCAAGAACTCACTTGACTCCACTAGCCCGTGCATTGTGAGTGCCTTGCATGCGCGGTGGCTTGGACCAACGCTTGAGAATTCTCAGGGCACTTCCGTTCCTCTCGCATTTGCAGTACCTATTATAGTACTTAGCCCCCAACGGACGGACCTGCCCTAGATAGGACCTAACTCCTATCACCGATTTCTTTCCATTATAAATACCATGTAACAGCAGTAGTATTCTCTAATATGATTCTACGCAGTTTACGCTTACAAAGCTAGACTCCAAAGATCAGACTTCTACTCAGAAGAAGACTAACTCTCATTGGAAGAACCTCGCTCAGAACTACGTTCTCGAGCTTGTCTTCGGATAAGTCTCTTTACAAACCTCAACGAACCCTCAGACTTTGTTAAGCACTTTGTGCGTCACATACAGGGGTTTATATAGTGAAAAAAAAGTAGGCTATGCACAGTATAGCTGTGCAAAACGAATGAGAAAGAACATGAAGGAATGAATGTATGCTGACAAATCCTGCATAGGTAGTACAGGATAAGATTGTCAAAAAAAGAAAAGAAAGGGATAGAACAATGAATGCTGTGAGTAATGTCACAGGTTTGTACAGCCATAAAGTAAAGTCTAATAGCAAAAAGAGAGCAGGAAAATCATGATGTCATGGGAAGATGCAGTAAAAAAAGGCAAGGCAAAACACTATCAGTATCAACACAGTTTCTTTATTGTCAGTCAGGCATTCTAAAAAAATATGTGTCCATAAAAATAATTCAAAAATCAAAAATAATTGCACTGTAAATGAATGTTCTGCTGAAAATAAAGAAACTGGAGCCACCGGTCCACCACCTAGTCCAAATCCAACAGTTCCATGGCCTTACCAATGGACTGGTTATATTGAACCACCTGGTCAAACAAGGGAGGGAGAGGAGTAGTTCCAATTTGGAACAAGTGAGTCCCAGGCAGCGTATGGTAGGTGTAGCTGTAGCGAAGATGATGGACAAAAGATAAGTGTACCCAAGTGAATGGGACAGCGATGAACATGGACGATGCAAGGGGATGAACTTTCTCCAGCTCAAAAACTACCCACTCACACTCCAACCAGGCGAGACGAGCAACCGATGTTTTGATAGTATATGATGGCAGATCAATGTCATGAAGATGGACCTGTTGCCCAACTTGGACTGGCCACCGGGGCTTTGCTGATATCAGCAGCGGCACGTGGTGGTTGACAGATTGGCAACGGAAGCAGATAGAAAGTGGTGACATCAGATATGGTGGGGGAGCAAAGATGATGAGGAGGAGGAGGGTGGAGGTGATGAGGAGGTGAACCAAAATGGGGATCCAGAAGCAACCATCAGGTGAGAATAAAAAGGAGAGTAAGGGACCCATGGTGGGGCTAGGCAAAGGAAGGAAAGTGAAGGAAACGACGAAAGCAAGAGCGCAATGTGTAGCCTGTGGCGACGCAAAAATTTGCCAAAATGCCAAAACGCAGAAAGTACCAAATGGAAAAGCAAAGGTGAGCGCGACTGTAATGCCTAACAGAGGTGGTGCTGATCAGCCACAAGTTCAAAAAAGGCAATATTAATTACTATTCCATGTGGCACTGTGCTTGTGTGGCGCAAAGGCAAGTCTTTTTGAATATTTGCTTTATCATTGACACCTGTCCATGCTACCAATCAACTTTGGTGCATGACAACGGAAGCAACAGAAAAAGAAAGAGAGGGGCAAATGAGGGCCCATCAGACAGCAGAAAGAGTGGAGGAGGAGGTGACGGAATACAGGGGATTGTGGGAGCAACAGATCACTACCAATTCCAAGATACAAAAGAATGACAGAGGAGGAGAGAAGAGAGATTGAGGAAGGATAAGGAGCGCACTTGATAACCCACCCACCTTCAATGGCGGTCAGATGAAGTTTAAAAACTTCATAGAACACATATCACTACACTTTGAAGAAGACCCAGAATACTTTGGAGATGAAAAGAAGAAGATAGCTTTCATGCTATCACATATGAAAGAAGGAACGGCTGCAAGCTTTAGAAGCGAGTGGCTAGAAGATAAAATGTCCGTTATCTTAGCACTGGAACGGGCACAATACCAAAGATGGGCAATCTTTGAAAGAAGGCTAACCGAAGCTTTCAAAAATAACCAGAAAGAAAAAGAAGCACAAAACCAGATCTTACAACTGAAACAAGGTAGTAAGACCGGAAGAGACTTCTTCCTAGAATTTAACAGCCTGCAAAGGAAAGCAGGATATAGGGACAACTCCATTCTGATCACCCTGCTAAAGAAAAACATGAACTATACACTTGTGGACAAGCTCTACATCAGTGGGCTACCACCTAACAGATACAAAGAATGGAGGAAACTCCTTGTAAACTATGATTTAATATGGAAAGAATGAGAAAAAGAGAAGAAAGGGTACTTTGGTCAGACGGAGAGAACTGGAGCAAGGAAGGAAGACGGAGGAGGAAAGAAGGCTTATTCTGAAACCAAAGATGGAACCGGAACTGTCTATTTGGGTGCTGGGCAACCCATGGAGATAGACAAGGCCAGATACAGAAAAGAAGGACTCTGCTTCAAATGTGGAGTCAAAGGACATATTGGAAAGTTCTGTCCCACAGAAGGAAAAAACAAAGTTGACTTGAGCGCAATGATAGCGGCACTGTCAAAAGAAGAGCGCGAAGCTCTAAAGCTGGATTTTTAAAAGGGCAACTGATGAAGCATCAGTCGGCTGAGCCCAAAAATGTCAATCCCTTTTCTGTTCTCCCTGTTGATGATCCCACATGTACCGTGAAAACAAATGAAAAATATCTATACAAGGAATCAAAGTCAAAGAAAGAAGTAAGGAATAACATGAAAGATGCACACCAGAAGAGGGGTCTGGTAAAAGAAACCCCAAATGAAAGTACAACCGAGCAGAAGCGACGCACAGTGAAATAACAAATGCAGCTATGGCGGCGGGCAAATCATTGAAAAGTGCAGCATCAGCAGCGGATTCTAAAGAGATTCTCATACCCAATATGGTGGACAGGTCAGACACCCCTGTAAATAAAAACCTAGAAAAAGAAAAAAGGAAACTAGTAACAGCAGCATGGACTTCCAAATGGGTAGCAGAAAGACTTAGAGACCAACAGGAAGAAAGATCCATTGGAATCTTAAATGCCTGGACGCACCATAAAAGGGGAAAAGAAGCCACAAGATGTTACAATAACACAATTTTTGGACCTTTAAATTTCATTCTCCTCTTTAACTTTTTTCTATAGTTTTCACACACTGGGCCATGCGGCACTTTATTTTTATTTTGTTCAAACTCCCCTTTTCTCGTGCTGCACTGCTTTTCTTTATTTATAGCTACAAAACTCTCACACAGTGGAGCTGGTTACACAGGCTGTGCCCCATGACATCATCAGCCACTGCTTCCATCAACTGTATAGTACACATGTACAAATAACCTGTAGTAATATAAATACCCAATAGATCCAGGAGACTCCTCAGCGAGTCCTCCTGTTGTTTACCCACAACTAACTTGGTCCTATCCTAAGGGTAACCACTCCCCTCACTACCTTTACAGTTTTGTCTGAGTTGAGTGCCAGAGTATACAAACTCTTGGTTGTTACATTAGGACTTGCTCTTACTACTCTCTTGCACTTTGTGCAAACCTGGTCCCCAGGGTTAAGGGGTTATTGTTTTGGAATATCCTGTATAGCAGAAGGGTGTGCTCCTAGCGACGGCCCTGTAGTGCTCAGGGAGAAGAGGCAATTATTTGTACATGGCCCCTAGTGTTAAGGGGAGTACTTTAGCTCAGCAGTTGGTGTGGAACCACTGTTGATTAGAAATTACACACAAACTTCTTTTTCATTTTCCTCTGACCAGGCCGGGCACTTGCCTCCGCTAGTCTGGAGAAGGGTTGACAGCTTAACAAGTGGACCACCCCCTGACAACCGTTTGCACCAGGGTTTATTACAAATACCCTATATATACATACAATTTCAAATACTATAGTGTGGGTAGTCAGAGATTGAGATCCGATACTCAGCTGGGAAGAGGTAGATCTGCACTTCAGTCACCCCCAAAACATAAGCATTTAGCTTCAACTATCTGTGTAAATGTATAAAGCTAAGAGCTTGTTTTTCCTGGTATCATCCCAAGTGCTCCAGCAAGGATGGGATCATCCCAGAAGCGGAATAATACCACCCTTCTGGGATTTTCCCATGGTATCAGACCATGTACCATAGTGGGATTATCCCTCAGATGGGATAATCCCAATAACCTGTTACATGTCACATGGTATCAGGGGGATTGGTGCTAATACTAACATGTGAGAATGCTGGGCCAACTAGTGAAGATATTTCCAGTCTTTTCCACATGAATAATGGTACTTTAGCCCAATATAATCAAGACTATTTTGAAATATATGAGTTACAAGTTCCTCATTGTAGCTTACTGCAAATTTGGGGAGAAGCATTCCCTTTTTTTTAAATGTGGAACATTATCAATTTCTAGATATAATCAATTGCAGGAACCATACACTAGAAAGATGCTGTTGTCCTTGCTGATAGATGTGATATGTGAGTTCTGCTTTTTTGCAAGGTTTATTATACCCTTAACTGAAGTAAAAACTAGGAAACACAACACAAATGCTGTGACAACAAAGTAATCTGCAGAAGGACATCGAATATTAGATTTACACTAGATCTGGCATATTCTGTGAGGAAAATCCTGACCTTGTAGAAAGTAAAACATAGTAAAAAGAAACATAAAGTCATGTTCTTGCAAAAACATGAATTTACCACTTTTGTGGCACTACCAAGGTATTTGATACCTTATATTGTACATTCTCTGAGAGTGGTTCCTGGGGGCTGCTGGCTGAAGGTCTATGGGGAGAGGGGGATGCTTGCTATGTACAGTATAATACACAAGATCTCCATTTTGATACTCCTACACTAGATGACTTGAGTGTGAGGATTAATTAGGCACTGCTTAGGTATTTAATACCTTGAGTTGTGCCATTTCTGGGAGCTACCAGCTGAAGGTCTAAGGGGTGACTGGTGCCTATATGCTGACTGTGTATAGTACAGTATCTAAGTCCACAAAGAATCTGAGTGCTGTAAAGGTATTCTTTTTTTAGATTCTTGAGAAATTGAAATGAATCCGGAAAATATTTTTTCATGCCAAGTAAGGTTTCTGCCAACATTCTCTGTCTCTCATATGATAGTGATGCTGTCTCACACCACTCTTTTTGGATTATCATTTTTATGGCAATATGTAGAACTCAGGTAATTTCCTTCAAAACTGATTCTGACCATTGACATTGCCCAACTTTTGATTTTTTTTACTGAGGATCATCCCACACTGATCTGGACAAATCCCTGAAATAGGGTGTGATCATCCCAGTTAAATCTGTACATGTCCCCACGTAACATGGGGTTACCCACTTCTCACATGGACAAATACCAGAAGGGGGTGGGATCATCCCAGTTCAATATGGACAAATACCATAAAGGGATGGGATGATCCCAGCTCAATGTGGACAAATACCACAAGAGGATGGGATAATCCCAAGCCAATCTGGGATGATCCCAAACCAATCTGGGAAAATCCCAGTTAAGCATGGACAAATACCAAAGAGGATGGGATGATCCCAATCCACTCTGGGAAAATCCCAGCAAGAGATGGGATGATCCCAGTTAAGCATGGACAAATACCAAAAGAGGATGGGATGATCCCAATTGAATCTGGGAAAATCCCAGTAAGAGATGGGATGATCCCAGTTGAACATGGACAAATACCAAAATAGGATGGGGTGATCCCAATTGAATCTGGGAAAATCCCAGCAAGAGATGGGATGATACCAGTTTAACATGGACAAATACCAAAATAGGATGGGATGATCCCAATTGAATCTGGGAAAATCCCAGCTTAACATGGACAAATACTAAAGAGGATGGGATGATCCCAATCCACTCTGGGAAAATCCCAGCCAGAGATGGGATGATCCCAATCCACTCTGGGAAAATCCCAGCCAGAGATGGGATGATACCAGTTTAACATGGGCAAATACCAAAAGAGGATGGGATGATCCCAATTGAATCTGGGAAAATCCCAGTAAGAGATGGGATGATACCAGTTGAACATGGACAAATACCAAAATAGGATGGGATGATCCCAGTTTAACATGGACAAATACCAAAGAGGATGGGATGATCCCAATCCACTCTGGGAAAATCCCAGCCAGAGATGGGATGATCCTAGCTCAACATGGACAAATACCAAAAGAGGACGGGATGATCCCAGTTAAGCATGGACAAATACTAAATAAGATGGGATGATCCCAAATCAATCTGGGAAAATCTCAGTTCAACATGGACAAATACCAAGGGGGGATAGGGTCATCTCAAACCAATCTGGGAAAATCCCAGCAAAAAAGGGGATGATCCCAGTTAAATGTGGACAAATACCAAATGGGATGGGATCATCACAATTTGATATGGACCAATGCCTGAAGGGTAAAGCATCATCCCAAACCAGCCAAGGAAAGTCTTGGAAAGAGATGGGATCATTCCAGTTCAATCTGATCTAGAAAAATCTCCAAATTACATAGGATCATCTCACTACATCACAGACAAATCCAAGCAGGGGACAAGATCACCCTGAGTCAGAATAGGACAGGGAGATCCCACAACAGGAACAGAATTATCGAATAGCATGCTTAGGCTGCTGGTGACTCAGCATGACAGGGGAAAATACTCCTGAAATGCACTAAGGTTATTCTGTAACATATAATCATAGGTAAGTTCCCAGCAGCTTAAAATATTATTGTCCTTTTCCAGCAGTTTCCATTTTTTACATGTTGCAGTATTTTGTTTGTAAACCAACTATTATGTTATGGTAGGACCTGGATGAACCTAAGGTTGAACTGGGACAGTGATTCAGAGTAGCCCTCACGTAGGTTCATCCCAAGTCACATGAAATTGCATAAGCATGCAGAGCACACCTTTCAGCCATTTTTGTTTTCACAAAAATTTATAATCAATTGTATGCGTGGGGACATATAGTGGATAAAATGGGTGTTGGCTTGTGGATGCTGGGCTGCCACAAAGAGCCAGCAATTTGTCTCATGCAAGACATGTTCTGCCTTTGACAATGATGCAGCAGAGGGAAGGATAATGAATATGTAGTACTTACTCGGACTGGTATCTTTGTGCATTTTTCAGTTCAGGCACTTGGATAAAGCTGCACAATTCAAAAAAATATCATATCTTTTGGATCAGCACATTAAATGGATTTGTGACATATCTTTGCCTGGTTGCAAGAGTGTTACATTATTTAAAGTTGGATGAGCCTGAATGAGAGGTATTGTAATCCTGCAGATGTATATGCTTGGTATTGTCAAACATCTTGTATTCCTTTGACTATAAGCCATTTTAAGTAACATTGATAGAAATCCAGGGTAGATAAATCTACTTTGTGATATGCAGTAAATTATATGATAAGTAGGAATGACAAAGTTATATAGTCAGTCAAGGAAAAGAGATATGGTTGAATTATCTCCTAATCAACTGAATTAAATCAGGTTAATTTGTAAATGGTTATATGTCACAATTAGTTACACTAACCTTTGGTCAAAGTCTCCTCCATCAATCTATAGTATATGATATTACACTAGAAGCTGGACAAATTAAGGTTCAATTGAGAGTAAACACCATTTGAAATTTGTATATATGTTATAAATGATGAAAGCAGGTAGTATTGTATTCTGCTTCATGGCTATTAGTACTATTGATAATGTATTGATGTTGGCTACATTTATGCAGGAACTATCTTTGCAGTAAAGCCCCCCTGACACCATGTGACATGTGGCAAATGTCTGGGATTATCCCATCTAATGGGATTATCCCACCATAACAAATGGTCTGATACCATGGGAAAATCCCAGAAGGGTGGTATTATCCCACTTCTGGGATGATCCCATCCTTGCTGGAGCACTTGGGATGATACCAGGAAAAACAAGCTCTTAGCTTTATACATTTACACAGATAGTTGAAGCTAAATGCTTATGTTTTGGGGGTGACTGAAGTGTAGATCTGCAGATAGCAAGTGGGGGACCCCTAGTTACATTTTTTTACGTTTACAAAGAGAACAAGTCAATATGTTGTTGCAACCCAATATGAACAGTCTGCTGCACAACATGCATATACAGATTCAGGTGTTGACAAATCAGCTCGCCAAGATTCAGGCTGCACCAGCAGCAGAACCTATGGCTGAGCAAAAGTTCAACAAAAAAGTCAAGATTATCGCTGACCCTGGTGCTTTTGAAGGAGACTGGGCTCAATTTGCCGAATGGTGGATCAAGCTCCAAATTTGGATTAAAGCGAACTGGGACGTGTTCGCTGATGATTTTGAAATGGTGACAACTGTGCTGTCAAGACTCAAAGGACCTGTGGTGGGTTGATACGCCCAAGTTAGAATGCAAGAGTGCTACACCGCGGGAGTGTGGCCTACCTGGGATGATCTCAAAGTCAAGATCAAAAAATACTTCAAACCGCAAGCTGAGCATAACTGGGCACATCAGCAAATCCATACCTTCAAACAAGGAAATATGAGGACAGATGACTTCGTTACCTGGTTCCTGGCCCTCTCCATCCAAGGGGGTTTGGTAAATGAACATGCAGTGGAGCTGTTGGAGCGCAATGTGAACCCCCACATTGCAGAACAACTTTACATACAAGATATGTGGCACGAGAACCTTGCAGCAGCTGCTGAGGAGGTTCAAAAATTTGGTAGGGCCATAGAGCTCTACGCTATGCAATTTGGTGGCAGATCCACCACCAAAAACAATCATTCCCAGAGGAGCCCTGGGTCATCAAACCAAAAAAAACATATATAGAGCAAATATAGAGCTATACTTGCTTATAGGTGCTTATAAAGTTGTCATAACTGTCAGACCTGTTATAAAACCTCTGGCATTTGTAGAGCCACATATAGGATCTTATAGATGACCAAAAGCTATTATAGCTGTTATAGATGCTGGGGATTTTTTTTTACTTTTAGAGTCAAGCCAACTAATTATAGCTTTTGCCTAGGTTTTATAGTCTTTGTAGAAGAAATAGCTGTAATACAAGTCTTATAGCTTTCACCTTGTTTCATATGTACCTATAGATTGGATCAATTATTTGGACATTTATTGCCATTATAACTTCAAGGGTAATGCAAGAAATGCGTAATATCAAAAGCAATATCTGTTACAATAACACAATTTTTGGACCTTTCCTTTAATTTTCATTCTCCGCTTTAACCTTTTACTGTAGTTCACATTTCGTGCCATGTGGCACTTTTCTTTTCATTCTAACTCCACTTTCTTGTGCGGCACTGCCTTTATTCTTTTTTTAGACACAAACTCTCTCACGCAGTGGAGCTGATCATGCGGGCTAGGCCCCATGACATCATCAGCCACTGCCTTTATCAACTATACAGTACATATGTGCAAATAAAATTGTAGTAGTATAAATACCCCAATAGATTAAGGAGACTCCTCAGCGAGTCCTCCTGTTGTATACCAGCAACTAACTTGGTCCTACCTAAGGGGTAACCACTCCCTCATCACTACCTTTATAGTTTGTCTTAGTGTGCACCAGAGTAACTAACTCTTGGTTGTTACATCAGGATTTGCTCTCATTACTCTCTCGCACATTGTGCAAACCCGGACTCCGGGGTCAAGGAGATTTGGTTATTGTTTGGGAATATCCCACATAGCAGATAGGTGCACTCCTAGTGATGGCCTTGTAGTGCTTTGGGAGAAGAAACAATACCTTTGATACGCGGCCCCCAGTGTGAAGGGGAGTACCTTATCTCAGCAGTTGGCATGGAACCACTGTTGATTAGTTTTAGAATACAGAACTTCACTTTCTCTTTCCTCTGACCAGGCCGGGCACTTGCCTCCACCAGTCTGGAGAAGGGTTGACAGCCTAATAAGCGGACCACCCCCTGACAACTGTTTGCACCAGGGTTTATTACAAATACCTTTTATATACAATTTCAAATACTATAGTGTGAGTAGTTGGAGATTGAGATCCGATACTCTGCTGGGAAGTGGTAGATCAGCAGATAGCAAGCGGGGACCCCCAGTTACGTTTTTTACCTTACATTACAAAGAGAACAAGTTGATATGTCGTTGCAACCCCAAACAGATGTCAATGCTCTGTTGCACAACATGTGTGCACAGATCTTGGCACTGACCACGCAACTTGCCAAGCTGCAGGCAAATCCCCCTGCAGCAAACCCCTCGGTGGAAAAGAAATTTAATAACAAGGTGGAAGATGTTGCTGACCCCAGCGCCTTTGAAGGAGACAGGGCTCAATTTGCCGAATGGTGGATCAAGCTCCAAATTTGGGTTAAGGCAAACTGGGACGTGTTTGCCGACGACTTTGATGTAGCAACAGCAGTGTTATCTCGACTAAAGAAACCTGTGGCGGGTTGATATGCCCAAGTAAGACTTCAGGAATGCTACACCATGGGTGTGTGGCCTACCTGGGACAATCTCAAGATTGAGATCAAAAAATATTTCAAACCACAGGCTGAGCACGACTGGGCTTGCCAACAAATCTGATCCTTCAAACAAGGAAACATGAGGACGGATAATTACGTTACCCAGTTCCTGGCCCTCTCCATCCAAGGAGGGCTTGGCAATGAACATGCAGTAGAACTGCTGGAGCGGAATGTGAACCCCCGCATTGCAGAACAGATCTACTTGCAGGATACAAGGAGCGATAATCTGGCCCTGGCAGTGTTGATGATGAGAACTGCTGTTAGAAAACCACACACAAAAACAAACTAACACACAATCCTCCCAGATTCCATGGAACTTGTTTATAGGCTTTGCCTCCTAGAACAATGGAGTGGTCTGGTTGTTCGTGGGGTGGTATGTATGAGGATCCTTCAAAGTAAAACCCAGAGATGTATGAGTCTGGGTTTTGATGAGGGATAGTTGAATTGATAGAAGATAGGGGCTTAATGACGAGTATAGATGAGCACTACCTTGCTAATGGTAGCACAAGGTAGGTTTGAGAACGACAAGGATGACGAGGTGACGAGGTTCCCAGTGATAGCAGGCTCCTGATGCACAAACTGTAGTGCTCAGAAGGACTCTAATCGAAAGGGATAACAATGACTTCAAAAGTGGGGAGTGACGATGACAGCAATTAACAGTGGTAGCAGTGGGAAGTGTTGTGACCACACTGGATCACAAGTAGCAGAGAGTAGTGAACTTGAGATTAGAGAAGAAGTCTGGATTGGATTTCTTGTTCTTCTTTTACAAGGTAAAATACAGGGGTTTATATAGTAAAAGAAAAGTAGGCTATGCACAGTATAGCTGTGCAAAAAGAATGAAAAAGAACATGAAGGAAGGAATGTATGCTGACGAATCCTGCGTAGGTAGTACAGGATAAGATTTGTCAAAAAAGGAAAAGAAAGGGATAGAACAATGAATGCTGTGAGTAATGTCACAGGTTTGTACAGCCATAAAGTAAAGTCCAATAGCAAAAAGAGAGCAGGAAAATCATGATGTCATGGGAAGATGCAGTAAAAAAAAGGGCAAGGCAAAACACTATTAGTATCAACACAGTTTCTTTATTGTCAGTCAGGCATTCTAAAAAAATATGTGTCCATAAAAATGATTCAAAAATCAAAATAATCACACTGTAAATGAATGTTCTGCTGAAGAAAAAGAAACTGGAGCCACCAGTCCACCACCTAGTCCAAATCCAACGGTTCCAATGGCCTTACCAATTGACTGGTTGTGTTGGACCACCTGATCAAACAAGGGAGGGAGAGGAGTAGTTCCAATTTGGAACAAGTGAGTCCCAGGCAGCGTGTGGTAGGTGTAGCTGTAGCGAAGACGATGGACAAAAGATAAGTGTACCCAAGTGAACGGGACAGCAACAAACATGGGCGACGCAAGGGGATGAACATTCTCTAGCTCAAAAACTACCCACCCACGCTCCAACCAGGCAAGACGAGCGACTGATGTTTTGATAGTATATGATGGCAGATCGACGTCATGAAGATGGACCTGTTGCTCTATTTGGACCGGCCACCGGGGCTTTGCTGATATCAGCAGTGGCACGTGGTAGTCAACGGATCGGCAACGGAAGCGGATAGGAAGTGGTGACATCAGAAATGGTGGGGGTGCAAATAAGATGAGGAGGAGGGTGGAGGTGACGAAAAAGTGGATTAGAATGGGGATCCAGAAACAACCATCAGGTGAGAATAAAAAGGAGAGGAAGGGGAGTAAGGGAAATGACACAAGCGAGGGCGCAATGCAATGTGTAGCCAGTGGCGACACGAAAATTTGCCGAAATGCTGAAACGCAGAAAGTACCGAACGGAAAAGCAAAAGTGAGCGTGACTGGATTGCCTAATAGAGGTGGTGCTGATCAGCCACAAGTTCAAAACAGGCAATATTAATTACTATTCCACGTGGTACTGTGCCTGTGTGGCGCAAAGGTGAGTCTTTTTGAATATTTGCTTCGTTATTGACACCTGTCCATGCTACCAATCAACTTTGGTCCATGACAGCGGCTGAGGAAGTACGACAAGTCGGTAGAGCCATGGAGCTCTACGCTATGCACCAAGATGGCGGGTCCACCACCAAAAACAACTATCCCCAGAGGCGCCCTGGGTCATCAAACCAACATAATCATTCTCATGGGTTCAAGTTGTTTGGGCTGCAACCAGGGCAGGGAGCCTCTATGGATATTGGCGTGGTCCAGGGAGGAAAAATGCGCAGATTCAAGGAGAACTGCTACAATTGCGGCCAAGAAGGACACATGTCCCAAAATTGTAGAAACGGAGTGCAGGCCGCTCAACAAAAAAATAACCAAGGGTGCCAGGCGCGCCAATTAGAAACCGAGAAACCAGACAATTGGCTCCAGTTGTTCTGACAACAAAATCTGGGCTTTCTTCTATGACCAACAAGTCAACAAGATGAAGGCTCAGGGAAAAGAATTTGGAGCGTAGGTCACTTGGGTGTCTTTGCTCCTAGTAACAATGAGGTAAACCACAACAAAGTGGCCCCTGCTCCGGGGTGTTGCACGAGCAATAACGGAAAGAAGGGGGTGGCTCCCCAATTTGTAAATAGATTTTTAGATTTGTTTTCAGAAGTATGTACTTGTACGAAGCATTGTGAATGCAATATTTATGATACTACTGCTGCACCAGCGTCTCCCTTGGAGTGTGGCCCCAGCGAGACAAACACTAGGGTGCTTAATTCTGGTAAAAATAAAAATAAAAATATAGAAAAACATGTTTCTTTCGATATTTCTTCGCTGGAGCCACCTTCTACAGAAATCCCAGGATGTGTGTTGATGTGCACATATTTATTCCAAAAGGAGATCTGTTTAGATGTTGGTGTGGAAAACCTTGCCCGGGGCATAGTACACCCAACCAGCGCACTGCTTGATTCAGGCGCTAACGGCATCTTCATAGATCAGGTCTGGGCAGAGCAAGTTGGACTTCCCCTTGTAAAATTAGATATATCTATTCCCATCTATAACGTTGACAGTATGCTTAATGCAGGTGGCTGCATCACGCACAAATGTTCTTTTGTTGTCAAGTACCAAGGACACAGAGAACAAGTCACTGCCGAAGCTACTCAACTAGGGAAGATTAATTTAATCTTGGGCTGGACCTGGCTATTTAAACACAATCCTGAGATCAACTGGCAGACAGGGGTTGTCACATTGTCACGTTGCCCTCAGGAGTGTGATGATTTGGGAAAACCGAGTCACATCCGTCAAACAGAGCTTGATGAAAGGATAAATGGTGATCACATTTATGCCAAGCTTAGATCTTTAGAAAAGATTGACAATGACAATGACGAGGTAAAACCTGAGGAAGAGATTAAGAGGCTGGTACCTCCTGAGTACCATGACTTCTGGAAAATCTTTTCAAAACATAAGTTGGAGCGCTTCCCAGAGGCTAAGCCTTGGGACCATGCAATAGATTTGAAGGACACCTTCAAACGAAGAAAAGGACACATGATACCCCTCTCTGCTCCAGAAAGAGATGAGGTATCAAGTTTCATAGATAAACAGTTTAGAAAGGGTTACATCAGACCTTCCAAAAGCCCTATGACGTCCCCGGTGTTCTTCATTCCTAAAAAGGATGGTAAGAAGTGTATAATTATGGACTATTGTTATGTGAATGAGCACACGGTTAAAAATGTGTATCCGCTGCCTTTAATCAGTCAGCTAGTAGACAAATTGGCTGGTGCCAAGATCTTGACAAAGATGGATCTCAGATGGGGGTACAATAATGTACGAATTAAAGAAGCAGATGCTTGGAAGGCCACATTCACGTGCCACCAAGGATCCTTTGAACCCCTTGTTATATTCTTTGGGTTGACCAATTCACTGGCGACCATCCAGAGTATGATGAACAAGATTTTTACGGATATGGAGAACTGTGTCATCATTTATATTGACAATTTATTAATATTCACAAAGTCAGACAATGAGGCTGAGCATAACAGGATGGTGCAAGAAGTCCTTCGACGCTTATAGAAACGGGACCTATTTGTTAAACCCAAAAAATGTAATTTCAAAGTGAAGGAAGTAGTGTTATGGTAACACAATTTTCGGACCTTTCCTTTAATTTTTGTTCTCCGCTTTAACCTTTTACTGTAGTTCACACTCCATGCCATGCGGCACTTTTCTTTTCATTCTAACTCCACTTTCTTGCGCGGCACTGCCTTTATTCTCCTTTTAGACACAAATTCTCTCACGCAGTGGAGCTGATCATGCGGGCTAGGCCCCATGACATCATCAGCCACTGCCTTTATCAACTATACAGTACATATGTGCAAATAAAATTGTAGTAGTATAAATACCCCAATAGATTAAGGAGACTCCTCAGCGAGTCCTCCTGTTGTATACCAGCAACTAACTTGGTCCTACCTAAGGGGTAACCACTCCCTCATCACTACCTTTATAGTTTGTCTTAGTGTGTACCAGAGTAACTAACTCTTGGTTGTTACAAGTAGACTTTCTCGGTATGATAATTGGCCAGAACGGAATCCGGATGGATCCTGAGAAAGTTCAAGCTATTTTGGATTGGCCTGAACCTACTCGCATCAAAGGAGTTAGGGCCTTCCTTGGCTTAGGCAATTTCTACCGAAGATTTGTGGAAAACTTCGCAAAAATAACAAAACTGTTGAACAATCTCAAAATAAAACATTGTTTGGCACTGGGGTGCCAAGGAACAAGAAACTTTTGATAAGCTTAAGCAGGCATTTACGACAGCACCCATATTAGCATTTCCAGAGTTAGACAAAGAATTCCGGCTAGAAACCAACTCTTCTGATTTTGCTACTGGAGCTGTCTTGTCAATTAAATTCCCTAACAATCTTTGGAGGCCTTGTGCCTATTTATTGCATAGTTTGTCGCCTACAGAGCGTAACTATCAGATTTACAATAAGGAGATGCTGGCCATCATTAGAACTTTAGAGCACTAGCGGCACTACTTAGAAGGTGCTAGATACCAATTTGAAATTTGGACCAATCATAAGAATCTGGAGTACTTTATGACGGCCCGAGACTTAAACCAGAGACAGGCCCGCTACGCGGTGTACTTGTCTGGGTTTAATTATAAATTAATTCATAAGCCTGGAACTTTGATGGGGAAAGCGGACACTTTGTCCAGAAGAGAGGATCATGCCAATGGCATTGAGGATAATAACAAAGGCGTCACCCTGAGACCAATTAAGGGTTGCTAATGTTAGAATCGGGCAAGATTCTGATCTTCTGGAAGTCTTCAAGAAAAACATCTCCTCAAAAGAGAA